CAAATAATTCCTTTTCTTTTTCTTTTCCTCCACTTCCAATAAGAAATGTGAATTCAGAGAGGCAGTCCAGTACAAAAGGCAAGTCAACCTTCAGGGAGTTTCTCTAGAAGTGAATTGTATTCCCTATTTCTACTCACAACTGCTCCAATACCCAGACACCAGTCTTACAACACAGTTTCTTTTCAATGTTAGGACACCTTTAAGATTAGAAACATCCTCCTCATGAACACACACACTGAACACAAGCTAACAGCTCTCAGGCACCTCTGGGTTAAATGAGCTAGAAAAAGTTGCTGAGGTATCTTGCTCTAAGGTATGTTTTCCAATCCCTGAATCATTCTTACAAATCTCTACTGATCCTTCTGAAGTCTGACTTCCAAAACAGGATGAAATACTTTACTACTTTACATTAATATAGATCTGTATGTGGTAAATCTGGTCATCTGGCAACAAATTAAAGTTAAAATAATCAGTTAAACAACAAATAGAGGAGACATTTAGCAAGAACAATACCAGTGAAAGACACTGGTTTGTCACTTCAAGTAAGATTTTTAACATGAAAGCTGAAAACACTTGGAGTGTAATCAGATAGCTGATGCTCAGTACAGCTACATTCTCTCTGGCTTTCATGGCTTCAGTGGATGCTGAAATGAATCTGCAGTTTGTTTTTATAATTAATTGCCAAAATTAAAACATTTTTTTTTCTCAGCATTGGTTGAACGGATTTTCTCTGAACCGATTTCACAAATAACATAGAACATGTTGAAAGTGAAACAGTAAAACTGTCACAAAAACAATGGACCTCTCACCAGCTTGCACACTAGTGGGCCCAACAGCCCGGATCTCATTTACATTGTACTTGCTCCAAAGGAAAGCTATCATCAAGTGTGCAAAGGACAGTCTAGTCCTAAATGGTAACGATCATTTAATTCAATGGATTTTAAACATGCTATACTGAATGCAATCCCTGCAGAACATGGAAGAACAGTGCTTGAGATAAGTTTCTTCCGAGTCGCCCCTTCTTTCTGATATTGTGGGAGTTTGACGATTTACTTTAAGGAAAATTATTACCATAAAAATTCCAGGTGAGAAAAAGTGCTTTTGAAAGCCTGTTGCATGAAGTCTTTTATTTTACCTACATTCTTACCTAAATCCTACCTTGACAGAGGCAGATGTAAGACCTGTCTTTGACTAAGTCCAGAATTGCATGTATTTATCACATACTTTAACTTTACCACTACTTAAACATCAGTACAGTTGCAGTAGCCTCATCCTCTGAAAACCTTTAGGACTCAATGCCAGCACGAAGCTCAACACAGAAATGAGCTTACACAGAAGTAAAAGCTCCATTCCTTTTCAAGTCCAATGGATTAATGTAAGGAGAAAGTCAATAGCACTAAACTCATCCTGAACTTTAAGCTCACAGATTGCTATGGCATTAAGGACCAGAGATGAGTTCAGCCTACAGTGGCTATGGCTAACTAATTTAATTAACAGTTATGTTCTAGAAACCCCTCCATTTACAAGTACTAAGTAATATGGTAAATATGGAACAAATTATCAGCAACAGCAGGGGAGATTTAAAATACGCATCTTGAGCTCGGAGTCACTCAGGAACCTGCGGTGATGCAATCCCTCAAACAGAGCGATCTTTATGAGCTTAACTCTGCCAAGAATGCATGTGCAAACCATCTTCCCGAGGCTCATCCCCACGGATGACACACAAACTGGAACGCCTCATCCACGTGGAGCCATGCCTGAATGTTTTTGCACCTCAGGTGTTTCCCGGTGACTTAGAGCTGTGTTATTCAATCCCTTAGAGTTGAAAACCTTTACAGCTTCACCAAGGCACCACACAGACCGCTGCAGAGCGGGTTGAAGGCTGCCAGTGGTAGCTGTAAGATGCAGCTTGCAGAGGTCAGACCAGCCATAACAAGGCTGGTGTGCAAAGGCACACCCGACCCACCCCACTCGTGTCACAGCCCTCATCGCCCTCAGGGGGCTACCTCAGAGTCCCGAAAACGATAAATACCTGAGATAGTGGCAGCAGTCATCGATGGTTGACATTGTGGAGGTAATCCACGGAGGCTGAGCTTCAGCAATGTGGGCACCATACCTGCAGCATGGACGTGCCGCGCCATTGCAGATAACGCTGTGGTAAACACCGGGGAGCTTTATTGACCCCACCTGTGCAAGGCTCTTTGGGTAACTTCCCCGTCCCGCGAAGCCCGCAGAGCACATGGAGGCACCGCACCTCCGGCAGGGCGGCTGCCATCACCTCGGCTGCCCAGGAGAGGGCGCCGCGGCGCTCCCCTGCGACGCCATTTTGGGCAGGCGTGTGGCGAGGGGATCGTGTGATGCCCGGAGCGTGTGGTGCCCGGCCCGGGCCTGCCGTGTGCGGGCAGCAGCAGAGCGGGCGCAGGAGGGACCTGGGGCAGCCGAGGCTGGGGGCCCTGGGTGGTGTTAGCCTGTGGCTGGTACTGCGAGTCCTGCCTGACCCATCACAGCCCCCCGCTGCTTCCTGCTGCCATGTGCTCTGCCAGCACAGCAGCATCAGGGCTTTGGGTGCTGAGGTGTGAACCTGCTGAGACTGCAGAGCTGGCCCGAGGGGCATATTTACTATCAACGTGGTGAATGGTGACATACTGAGTTGGGCTGCTAAAAAATGTGTTTCTGTTTCAATGGAAGATAGTCAGTAGCGTTGGAGGGGTGTTAGATTGGCCTGGAGGGTGATGTGGTTATTCATGGTACTCAGCAAATATGAGGAAGACAGGACAGGAGGTTACTAGCAAGTAAGATCCCAGCTTGGAGCCTGCTGGCATCAGGGAGATGCTCTTGATGCCCAGGATCGGCTTCAGCTGATGTCCTGGTGCTCTGAGCACACGGGGAGCATGGACAGCAGGAGAGCACTCCTGGGTTTGCTGACTGCTGAAGGGGAGGCCTGCAGAGCTGAGCAGCAAAGCACAGCATGATTTAGCTGAACTGCAAACCTCTGTGATGGTCTTCAGTAACATTCCCATCTCGGGGTACCTAGGAAGGGGTAGCACATCCTCTGTGCCTCACAGTTATTCAGGGGCTTCCTCCCCGAGGCCCGTGGTGCAGCCACATCTCACCGAATGCCTGTCCATTGAGACAGGCTGTGGAGCTGGTGCTGCTTGAGACAGGAGCGAGTGTCTGCAGTCAAGCTGCAGGGTTGGCTGCAGTAGGGATGCAGGCTATGGCTGCAGACACGTGGGAAACGCTGCATCTTCCCAAATAAAGGGATAAGGATTGTCAGAACCCCCTGCAGGGGTGCGTCCACCCCTGTAAGACAGGGTGAGGGGTTGGCAGTGCTTGTACAGAGTACCTGAAACAGCCCCCTCCAGCTGAGCCCGCGGTGTGCGAGTGTACACTCGGTGCATCTTACATCTGGAGACAGGCAGCGTGTAGCTCGTGTGCTGGACCAGTGCCAGGGTTAAGCCCCCAGTAGTCGAAGCTGGATCCCTGGTAGCACTCGTGATGGGAGGTCAGGCGCAATGAAAGAGCCCTAGTAGTTTGAGTAGGAACACACCAGCACCTCTCCTGATGGGAGGTCAGGCGCAGTGAGCAGGAGGGCCCCCCTCGTGCTGGCAGCTCCGTTCCAGTGTTTGGCTGGGCTCCAGAAGATTAAAATAGAGCCTTAGACTGTCCCCTCGGCAGCACTGCCAGCCAGAGCCCTGACAATCCTGGGGTTGTACTCAAACGTGAGTCCCCCGGGAGCGTGGCTTTACCCTAACAGCTGAGGCACTGAGTAGGTCGAAGCAGGCTGGGTTATTGCTCCTGTGACTCAGACTCGAGGAAGAGAGGGATCAGGATGGAGCCATGAGAGAGCAGGGGATCAGAATGAGAACACAGGACACAGATGGGGAAGGAGCAAGTGTGCCCCAGAAGAAAGCTTGAAAAAAGATGCGTTCTGTTGGGGCTAGGTTCGAAGCACATATAGCCACGAGATTGCAGTGTTAAACTTATCAAGCCCGACTTCTGATTTAGCTCCTTTCTGTGACCATTGCAGGAACAGATAAGCAAAAAAAAAAACAAACAAAAAAAGCAACATTTTCCTTTCTCAAACATTTCAAAAGCAATATGGGAAAAGGTGAAGGTGTGCAGGTTCTTGCGAAACACCCCTGTGTAGGTGCAGGATCCTTTTGTGGTCCAGGAATGATCACAGCTAAGGGGAATGGAGCCACGTTCTCATACGTGTGTCACTGATGTTAAGCACTTAAACAAAATGCCTGATTTTCAGGAGCGAGGAGCACTCCCGAGTACCACTAAAACCAACAGCAGCGGCATTGCTCACAGAAGGGTGTTTCAGCCTAGTCCACTATTACGGATTTATTTATCACCACTTAATGATGGCATCCATGCTTGAAACGTTTTGCCTCAAGATTTTCAGAAAGCGATTACAAGCAAAACATTTTGGCATTGCCTTTTTCTGCCCCTAAAAAGCAAATTGGTGGAATTTTTAAACCAATTTATTTTGCAAAGACCGCATTGATTAAGTCAAAAAATTGCTCATCTCACCAAAGGCAGGGATTTTATTTTGATATATACCAAACCCCCCACTTTTATTTACTGGGATTAAAGGTTGTTTTGTCTTTAAACTGACTTTAATTTTAGTTTATAAAGCTCCAGAATTGCTGCCCACTTTACTGTTTATTCTGTGTAACTGAGTGTGTACGTGAGCAGCAGAGCAGAGGATTCTACCTGTTTTTTTTCCCGGCATGCCATAATAAAAATGAATTGGATAATCGCAATAATTAGCTCTGTTATTCACACAGGTAAGGAGCAGAAATCCTACTGATTAATTAGAGATAATTATTAGTAATTAAAACCTCTTAAAATAGAAACATTTTACTAGCTCTTCTAAATGAATATACATTTGTTTGAAAAGAGAGTTTGAATACAGCTGTCTGGGGAAGAGAATGATGAAGCTTATTTATAATGATCTTTTGTGTGTTTGCAAAACAACCAAACACCTCAGCTCAAACCCAAAGCTTTTATTTAAAGGCAGAATTAAAAAATGAGTTAATAAGATTGCTCAGAGAGATGACAGTTTGTATAAGTTAATACATCTGAATGGAGCAGCGAAATGGTATCTTTTGCTGTCAGAAGAACGAGTCAGAAACATGCCTATAAGAGTTTGTTAACTTCTTTCCAGTTGGTTTAAAAGCGTTTCAGCATAGAACACAGAGGCAATTATAAACCAGCACTGTCCTTCAAGGAACCATGGCAAACATGTTAGAAAGGTCTGGAAGGATTGCTCTGTTCACTTACCTATCTTCTCATATAAAGAAGAAATCTCAGCTTGGGGCAAGCAAAACATAGGAACAACCAGGCTCTAAAAGCTGCGTGGTACATGCAGAAATGCCCCAAAGTAATTTAAGTACATGCACACAAAAATCCTTCTTTGTCTTGCAGTGTTTTTTCTAGTTAATTCCTTAGCTTACTGTACATGACTAATTACTCGCATTTGTTTTTTTTCTTTTACTAACTTTGTAAATGTGGTAACAATGTTTTGCAACTGAAAATGAAGGAAGCAGAGGTGACCGACAGTCACATTTTATTTTACAGTTTAAGCAGTATTTCGCTCTGCTGCTGAGCTCCACTTTGGCTGCGTTTTGGTTACAATGTTTTCCATGTGTGAAAATACCCACAGATGATACTCCAGTAAGATGCTGTTATCCTGAAGCTTGCAATGAGTTGGCATGTCCTGGCTGGAATACAGACATTTGTCAACATTTACATTACCGCATATACTTGTGCACAAGCTATGAATAATTGACTGCTGCTGATGTTGTAAGGATGCTAAGCCCGAAAATTGTGTCCCTGCTCTGTCTCAAGCTCTTTGTGTGACCTTGGGCATGTCACTTATTCCAATTACAACAGTATCTGTACAAAAGGTAGGATAGTGCATAAGGTGCCTAGAGGCTCCCACAGTATGGTGGTTAAAATACATTTAGCAACCTCTCCATCTTGGAAACAAGGTAAAAAGTGACCCAAGTCCCTTCACTTCAGCATTGAAAACGGAGTTGTTCTTATTTCTCTTGTTTACATACAGTAACCCAATTTTATCCTACATTGGAAATGTTGCCATGCTTTTTGAGAACAAGAATATGTGAAAAATGGAGGAGTGACAATGGAAGAGCGTGTTTCACTTTTATAAGGTAATTCCCCTCTGTAGGCAATATCTGGGGTGTTTCTTGGCTACAAGCAGATTGTACACATCCAATACAGTGTGTTTACAACATGGCTTGAAAGCACAGATTCACACCAGAAGCATGCAGTGGATTCTGTCTGGGTATCATTGCAAATACCCAGCCGAAAGCTGCCGAGCCCATAGGACAGCCCTGGGCTTGGAGAGGGTTTGGGCTGTCAGCCTGCAAGATCTTTATGCTGTTCACTGCTTTGATACTTGTATGCCAGCACTTTCTGCAGTTATAACACACAGATTAGAAAGATGCCACTTCAAATCCAACCACCCAGATATCACTGCTGTATTGAGGCAATTACATTTATACAAATTGCATTTCAATTCCTGTTGACTTTGTTATTTTTGCCCACAAGCTCTGGAAGCCATGTTTTGTTTAGGTTTCTGAATGTGTAGCCCAAAATTTAAATTTGGAGACCATATTTGAAAGCGTGGCCTTAGAAAAAGTCATTTTCTAATAAAAATGAAAGAATGGAGGGAAAAACACAAGCGACATTCAGATTTCCATGGACTGCAAAGCTCATATAGGTGGGTACTTGGTGACGGTCAAATACACAAGTGCACATGGTATTTAGGATTCTGAATGTATACGCTAGCAATTTTTTGTTAATGAGGGAGAAGACCTGAAGTACATCATTTCAGAAGATCACAGGAGTGGTAAGAACACAAGAGCACTTCAAGTCTTCTAAATCTTAAAAGAGCTGGGTTTCTATGATATTAGATCAAACAAAAAAATCTATGTTAAGAACATTTTTATGACACTCATTCACTCGAATAAACCTGATTTCTTTTACCAACCAATCTTTTTTCTAAAATAGTATTTAATATCTGAAGTTATAAAAAATATTTGTAGTCTTGAAAATTATTTTTATTGTCTATTTTATGTACTAGACATGCCTCTTTCAGGAATTATTAAAGAAGCATGAGTCATGCGGCACTCATTTACTCTTGGCTCGTGGCCATCCTCAATATATATTTTGCTATTTTCAAACCATTTGCAGGTACATATGCATGAAAATATTGTTGCGTCAAGTCTCAAGATCACAGTTAGCACAGCCTACATTGTTCATCTAGATATTTACAAAGTTTTAAAGCACATAAAATTGTGCATTATTATGTACCAAAGTTTAAACTTTAACATACGCTTGGTTGCATATATAGCAACAAGTTACAATAAAAATCTGAACAAAGACAACCAATAAACAGCCAAATTGCTATGTACAAACAAGGCAGGAAGCAATTAAACACTGCCTTGCACATTTCAGTTAAATTACTTTTTCTCTGAGGGGAAAAAACCAAACAACCCCTCTTCCCTTCCCCCAGGTCCCCAGTAACCCTCAACAGTCCTCGTTTTTATCAGGAAAATAACTGGAACTCCCGTTACATTTAGTAGGGGATTCATTTGCATAATATGGGAGAGAAATTTGGTCCCTATTATCAAATATAGCAATAGATCATGCAGTATAGGTTACCCCCCCCCAGTACAACTGGTAACACGTCAGCGTGGTGGGCTCACTCTCTGAGCCCGCTCCAACAACTGTCCCTGTAACCTCCAGGGGGATGTTCCATGAAGTAAATCCCCTTTTGTCTTCCTTACACATGCCATTTTTGCACCAGCATCTATGGGTTGTGTTCGTGATGACTCCACTGACCCAGATCCTCAGCTGATGCCGAGCCAGCCTTGTGAGCCAGTGGAGGTAATGCTGATCTGTGCAAGGCAATAATATCTGACTTGCCTTCAGTGGAACTACTTTTGATTTACACTGGTGCAAAAGAGCCTGGAGTGAGGTCTAAGGACAGCATAATTGGCCTCAAACTGACCATTATATAAAGCAAAACACAAAACCTCTGTGCATTTAACTTAAAATCTGCTTAATAAATTACTACAATTCACAGTAATAAGGTAGATCAGTGCTACACTAACCACTTTCTCTAACGTTAGGTCAATTTCAGATAGCTTTTCCAAGGCAGAAAATGAACATAAACATAAAAAATCTATTCTTATTATTTGACAAGCAAAAGACGAGGTTTCCTGTAGCCTAATGACAGACAAGCTTACTAACACATTATTATAGTGTGAGTGATTTAAAGGCTAAATTTTGCCCAAGGTGCTGTGGTGTGAATACGTATTCTAGCCTGGCTCTTATTTCACCCCCAAAGCTCCATTTGAGAGACAGCAAGCTGGGTGAATGCTCATGAACACCAGGACCAAGAGATGTCCTCTGAGCTGGTAGGGTCTGCACAGCTTTCAGCAGTACGTGGGGCCTGCTTCAGTCGAATCAACAAACTGACTTCTCATGACTTTGCAGATGCTCACTTAGGACAAAAGAGGCCAAAGCTGCCAGAGGAGAATGCACAGCCTGCCTTGGGGAACGTTGCCCTTGGGTTTTGCAAAGAATATACTGTTCCAACAGCTCTGCTGCTCGCTTCTGGGCATGATTTAGCCTTACGAATTCTACTTGGTGGAATCAAAAGATAGATTATACTTACAAATAACATATTCCAGCTATTTAGTGTTTTTCTGTAGTGGAAAAATCCGACCCAACCTGATGAAATCTCCGTTGTCTGAAAATTCAAGGCCTCTTTACTAAAAATGCTTTTTGCTGATGGCAAAGTTCAACACCTCAGAGAAATTCAGAGTAAGTTTCCAAGCTGTGTACCATATTTTCAAATACACTATACCCTTGTTGTTTGTAAGGCTGTATTGAAGTTTTACATAACAGTCATGAGCCATGCATTTAAACACCTTAAAAGAGTTGACCAGCAACTTAACGCATTTCTTTATACCGTAGAGAATTTAAAGATGCACCATCTCTTTCCAAAACACTCTAAACATAAATGTTCAGGATAAAATATTCCATCTTCTCCCTCCCCTTTTTGTATCTATGTTTAAAAATATTATAGATTTCTCTGTGTGTGCTTTTATTGTCTAGAAAATCCAATTGTCAACTGATACCTAAAGGCAAAAGAAGAAGAAATACGAGCCTGGGAAATCAGTGCTCGAGGCACAGCTTTCTTGAGGCAAACTATCCATGGGCAGACTGCCTTCTTGCTGATCCTAGGAATTCCCTTGCAGTTTGCCTCTAACTTGCTTCCTACCAACAGAAACAGGAAAGTTTTAGTCCACTAAACAGGGAGATATGATCCACATTCTTTTTTTTTGCTGTGGAGTCATAATATTAAAGCAGTATGTTTTTTCCTAGCCAGTTAAGTCATGACTAGAGATAGGAGGGTCTGAGTTCAGCCCAGGTGAAAATACACTCCCTAGAAAATGCAGGATAAAGTTCTGTGGCAAGATACAGGAGTAAGAGAGAGGTTTCCAGAAGTTTGCGAAGCCTTAGTATCCATTGTAGGGCAGAGCTTCAGTGAGTACAGACTCATCTGAATGAGCTGTCTGCTGGCTAATGAAACTCTAGTGTGCTGTGAGCTCTGAGCCACAACATTTCCCAGTTCTGTCAGGAATCCTTGGAGGGGCACTCGAGCCCAACCTGGAGAAAGGGTTCCCAGTAACTGAAGCAAAGATCTGAGTTCCTGATTTTAATTTGATTCCTGAATGTGAGCCTTTACTCTAAGCTCTACTCAGAAGAGCCACTTGTGCCTTTATGGAGTGGGAATACAGTGCTGTAGTTTGCAGGATGCTTCTAAATTGCTGTGACTGCTTGTGAAATGTGTGAGTGATCTTCCTAAGCCAACTGCAGAAGCATTATGATTAGTATTATGACAGTACTTGAGAGGCACCACTTTGTACTATTGTACTATTTATTTATCTCTGGGTGTTCATTACTATTCTTTTAAGGCGTTGCTCTGTTCAATCACCCACTGAATAGATAGGGATAATAATTTTGAACAAAGAACACATATTTCTAACAGGAGACAATTCATAGCTTTATAATCAGAAGTATTTAAAGTCAGAACTATCAGCTGCTACTTTGACTATTAAAGTATGTGGAAGAAACTCAATCTAGAGCTAACAGAATTAGGGAAGCATGCCCCATTGGCCGTCACGTAAACACCACTTCCATGTAACAAAGTTAGAATCAAGATGGGGTACATTGTGGCTGGCATTTGCATTCTCAAATTCCATTTTAGCACAGCAGATTATGATGAAATCAAGCCCTTTCTGCCAGTAAAGAATCCAGCTCATTATTAGATACATGACTACTGCTGGAAAAGTCCAGCAGCAGGTGTAGGTAACGGAGATTTTTACATCCTTCCTTAACCAGCAGCGTGTACCTGTTCTGCTGTAGATCTTGCTACTTCTTGCCCTCAGTGTTCCTGACGAGCCGAAGCAAAGCAAGGTGGGTTTCATTTAGGAACATCTTGTTTTATCTCATCACTTCCTGCAAAAACATATGGCCTCAGTGTATTGTTATTTTTATTCTTTAATAGACAGTTTTATGGCAGTTTTGCTTAGAGGCTAAACAGATTAGGGGAGCCTGGGCTAGGTGCTGTATCCTAGAAAACAATCTAAATTATTTTGACTTCTGAATATGAGCATTACACTGTCTGGCTCTCCTTGGTGCAAAGCCTTCTGCTAATGAACATAATCTAATGTAACAAGCTGTTACTGCCTTCAGTGACAGTAAAACATCACTGTTCGGTTCTATGGTGTGTGAGTCAGGTTTTCCCCCTGCAGCTCCATGTGGCATACAACATACAATGTATGTCCTTCTAGCTGCAAATTGGCACTGACACTTCTGTTCCCCCCCTGCATCTTCTCACCCACAGGAATTTTCAATATGGGTCTCATTCAAAGCCTGTGGAAGTGAATGGATGTCTTTCCATCCTCACTGAGCTTCGGATCAGGGAATGAATGAGCAGTTTGGGTGAAAAATTAACTTCCCTCTCCCAAAACGAGAAGTTACAAATGTAAATCCCTTATAGAAAGTTTTTGCCCTTGTATCACTGCAAAGACTCTTCTTGGCTTCCACATACTGACCAAGCATAAAATAGTGAATAACATTTATTTTTGAATTTATGGATTGAGTTCACAGGGATTTTAATAGCACTGGGGTTATGGAAGTGCTATTTTAATAAGGACCACAGATCATGGGCCCAAATCCTTACCTTTACCTCAAGGACTTGTAAACTCAACTATTTAACTCAAATCTCTTTATTGGAGGCCTTAGAATGTATCCACCTGGAGGCTGAAAAATTGAAAGGTAGAAGGCTGCGCAAACATGGAGTGAGGGAATTTAACCAGCAGGAATGTGGCCTATAAAATTAAACTTCAAGAACTGTTTAAGAAAAATTAAAGCTTGTGCAACAGCTGGGGTTTCTCTCCACATTCGTTCATTTCTTAGTGACTCAAACGTTATGGTTCTCATTAATAGAGATTTCATTTTTGAGATCATCTCCTGTAGTACTATAAGGCTGGTTGTGGTTGCAAAGGACAACATCATGACTCGGTGTGATCTGCCTTTAGACAAACACAGCATGCTAAAACACCACCTCCCACTCTCCTTATGGTACAAGATTGGTGGCCCAAATAATGGATTCAAACCGTACCCCTAATTTCCCTAATCATTACAATTATCCCAATTTCAGACATGGTGATCAAATACCCCATAAGTTTACAGTGAATATTCAGGAACAAAAGAAGGAGCATTTCTTTTCAATGGGTGTATGAGCATGCTGCCAACATGCAGAAATGAGCTCTTGTGTTCTGGGCAGAAGAAAAGACCAAGCTTCAGTCTCACTTAGACTCTGCATCTTATTCCTTCAGAACTTGGCCTCATTCTGCCTGCTCTTGATCCCAAAGGTTTACCTGCTAAGCTTTTATAATACATAATTTGAAATCTAAGCTGCTGAAAAAACCCCTTGTGATAATTATGTCAGGCTCTGACAGCACTCAGAGATGGTGTTGACTGCATTTTCTAGGTACCAAAAGACTTCTCATTTCTCTGTAAGTGAAACTCTGGGTTAAATATGTTCCTAAAACAGTTAGCACTTCAGTTATATGCAGCCTAAATCCATGACAGGAAATGATGGAGAACTGGTTAGTACAAGTTTAGGACAAGGTCCTAACATGAGGACACCAAGGATGTTACAGTTTCTGCTAACTTGCAGGCAGAACCACTCATGCCTAAAATTCTGCATGCTCAGAGAGACATGGAAACCAAGAGCACTTCAAAACCTCATTACTAGATTTGCAGCCACAGATTGTTCTGTTTTGTGGTGACTGTTACAACTGTACCTGCAGAAGTGCAGATGCCAATAATAAAGGTTACATCATGACAGATGATACCTCTGTAAGACCAGAAATCTGGTGATGAAGTCAAAAGAGGAGGATTCTTTTGAGTGGCATGAGTTGTCATTTCAGGAGCTGGAGTTTTCCAAGTGGTTTTGAAAGTATGGCCCTATATGCACGATGCTCACTCTCTCATTGTGTAGCAGTGGGAAGCAATGCACAAGTCTGAGGTTAAAGTGTGCTGCTGAAGACTTCCGAGACAGCAGAACCCAGCTGGTCATCTGGACTCATTTTCTGCTGCATAGCACTGTGCACATCCCTGTGTTCTACAGACTGTGTGCTCATTGCCCAGGAGTTGCTGTCTTCATTCAGAAATGCTTTATAAGGCTCCACATGTATCTGATGGACAGTTTGCCTTGACTCCTCGTACTTGCCTTTCCCATCTTCTGGAAGGCTGGATGCATGAGGCAAGAAAGTGCTCCGAGATCCATCAATGGGAATCTTCAGCTGCTCAGTGGAGCTAGGCTCTTGAGACAAATCTGAAGGTCTCATGAGATGCTGAGTATACACCCCTTCAGACAGAGAGCCAGACTGTGTCTCACTGTACACACGCAGCCACCGATGGTGCCGGCTGAAGTAGTTGTAGTGTTGATGTTTCCCTAGCCTCTTTTTCCCTAAAAAGCTCAGTGCCTGCTTGGAACTAGAGGACTTGTCTATGCTTTTCAATGTAAGCCCTGACACTGTTAGGTTGCTCATGTCCTCTGTGCAACATTCAGCATTAGTATCAAAGGCACTACACTCTGTCAGGCCTTCTTTCAATGTTAGGCAAGGCTTCATGTCATGGACTTGGAGAACATCGGGTGCGCTGCCACCCAGGCCACTGCTGGCCTGCTGAGATATGTCCTGTGAGGAGGAGTAAATCAGGTCTAATTCTCTGGGGCTTAATGCATCACTGGAATCATAGTCACTGTCAGTTGGAAGGAATACTTCAGAGCAGCCTTCTTCATCTGAGCAGGGCTGGGAGTCTGCAAAGAGAACTGATTAAGAAGACAAGCACAGGAGAGAAATGGCTGAACTGTCATTTATGGGGTTTTTCCCCCTTAATTTAGAGTCAGATCTGCAATTCTAAACATGTATGTGTATGTTGTGTGAACTGGGATTATGTTCTGAAAGGATCTGTTTTCTTTTATCTTCTTGTTACCAAATTTCATAGAGATGGAGATTTGGGAGAGAAAAACTCTAATCCAGGTTCTGTTTTTATTAATTTGAATAATAGTTGAATAATAGTTGAATTACTCCACATTTATACCTCTGTAACTGTGAGTAAGTGCAACTGTGTGTGTGCCTAAGAGGTTCATCTGTGGCAGATGAAAAAACTACCCTTTTGTCCATCAGGTGTGTTACATGTGTTCAAATACAAAGCAGAAAACACTTAATTCAGATGTGAATTTGTTGACCACACCGTCACTAGAACCACTGCTGTCTTTTGGCTGTAGAAGGATCAATAAAATAATAAATAGTGGCATATGTGATCGAGTGAGTTGATGCTTCACTGCCCTGTGGGTTTTATATTAGATCCAAGGAAAAGAAATGTAGATTTTATACCATGCTGACTATTCACTTTGAGTGTAAATCACCCTATAGCCCAGCAATAGTGAATCAGGCCCATGCAGGACAGGATAATGCTCTAGTTAACATGGTGCCAGAGCTAAGGATTATTTTGCATTCATGGTCTGTAATACAGGGGGAAATTAGCTTAGGGAGAGATGCTGAGAAAGAGCACAATGGTGTAATGGAGTGAATCAAAGCACCATCCTCTCTGGCTTTCTTTCAATCTAATCTAATCTAATCAGAGTACATGTATTCATTTTTCTTTACTGTATAAAACTTCCAATTTGAATAAACCCCACAAATTATTATTACCAAAATGGTCATGGCAGTTGTTTAATGCAGCATCTGGTGCTTTTGTTTCTACTGTTTCATTTACTTATTGCTTAAAGACAGCTCAGCAGAATGATGGATTACGTTTTCCTCCAAAGTCCTTATTCTGTTAGCAAATTAGGTGTTACTGTTTAATTTGCTTCACCTTTATTTGCTGTCATCCATTTCTTTCACCAGTTTAGTTCTCCAGCTGTTCAGAGAAGTAGTAACAGTCAGTGAGGTGGGTACTTACTTGTTTAAGTCTGTGTTTTAAAGTGCTTGTCTGGAACACTGACAACACTGAGGTATGTGAAAACGACTTTTAAACCAGACTGTTGGCACTAAAATTTGCTCTATCTAAACAAAGCAAAGTCAGTGACAGCACTTGTCCCTTCCAACCTGTTCATTTAATAACGTGGAACAGTGAGTTGACAGAGTTGGCTGATGCTGAGCAATTATTCTGAGTAGCTAAAAACTGACTGCAAAGACTGTAGAGGGATCTCAGGATAGAGAGTGGCAAATGGCTGGTAAACTGGTTGTTAAAATACCCTGGCAGGTATGGGGAAAAGTTGACTCCTTTTATAAAAAGATAATAAAGGAACTGTTACAAGTGAAAGTGAGTTCAAGGATTTTGTTTGATGAACAAAGAAGAGTTCTCTTACCACTCACAGCTTTTCTTCTCTGGAGCCTAGGCTCAGGTGAAGGGGGAGGCGAAGGAAGACAATCTAAATGTGAAGAGGATGAACTGATTTTCTTCTGAGAGTGTTCTTCTGAAAGATCCACGAACTTCTTTATGGGTAGGCCAGCTGCTGGCTGCTTGTATCTCGCATACTGCAGTGCTTCTGTGATCCATCTCATTTCCCTCCAGATCTCATCGATTTGCTGTAGAGAAAAGAAATGGTGAAAAAGCACAGTTAGTCTGTGTGCTGATTCTACCTAAGTGTGTACTTTATAAAAGAGCCCAAGTGGATGTGTGGGTGCTGCCAACAGACAGCACCAGCATCCCCTGACAGGACACTTCAGATGTAGATGGTCTGAACTGCCTTTGGTTTGGTGCTTATTCTCCTTCACCACTGCAGAGTCTGACTCTCAAATGAGATACCTCAATTAAGAACTTGTACTTAGGAGGGTGTGGGTGTGAGAATTCAGGCCTAAACTCTGACATGGAAAGAAAATGGTCTTTTGATGGAATAAAAAATGGGATCAGTCTTGTGGCACAGTTGAAAGGTGATTTCATTCTGTACTGTCATGAAAGCAAGACTTCTTGAGCATCCTTGCAAACCCAGCATTATGTTCCAAAGCAGAGTGCTCCAACCAAAGCTAGTTTTTAACAGAAGAATATACATACATGTAAAAGAATATACATTCATAGAGGGTAGAAGCACAGCTATGAGCCAAACTGCAAGTTTCTCCCTTACCATCATTTTGGTCTTCATATATTTTAATAGTATAAATCTACAGTAAGACAGTTCTAACACATGCCTGTTGATGGCAATAAGAGACAAGTGCCTAAATCAATAGCAGGATATAGCTTAAAATATCTATGAAGAGAGAAAAGATGCTGTTTACTGTGGGTCTTGAGAGTCTTCTGATAATGGAACACTTTTACCATCTTCAAGTAATTCAACATGTTTGATGATGGAGCAGATGTTGCTGCAACCAGCAAATGACAGTAGCTGTGAGTATATTATCCTTCTGCTGCAGTACCCTTTCTAGAACTTCCCTTGCACTCCTCTTCCTACAGAAGATTTTGCATTTAAAGAAATGAGCCTTCATATTAATATTGCAGTGCTTAAGGGAAACTGCTCTGCAGTTATGCAAGCTATGCTCTGCAGGGATGGAGAATGAGAGCCCTAGGTCAGGAAATGGTTAGGCAAAAGTGAGTGGTACTTCGTGCAGTGAGTATTATCAAATAGAGAAGTAACAAAGGGACCAGAGAAGAGGAGACTGCACTCTCATATTGTACGATGAGGGCTCCAGCACATATTCGTAGCTGAAGATACTTCTTCACAAAATGCACATTCGGAGTGTGAAATTTATTGCCAAAGGATACTGTAGATGCCAGATTAGCTAGGGTAGTTCTTGATGAGCTGTATTGGAGACAGGATAACTGGAGAGATGGATCTTTGTCTTGACCTAGTATGGCCATTTTTATGTAAAGGTGAAATCCCGACTCCAATGATGTCAGTGCAAGCCTCGCCACTGAGTTAATTTGAGCTAAGAATATACACTGATAAGAATAGCAAATGGCTCAGAGATTAATTCATAATCCTACATCATTTCAAGACTTCAGTGTTGCTCCATGAAGAGAATGCCAGTTAGCAAACATCTCACCTATTTGATTTTGGAGATTTTGTATCCTCTGTCTGTGATCCTCCCTCAATTCCAAACAGGAATCACACTGCATGCAGATCAATAAGATGCAAATCCTGTTGTTTTTCTCCGTGATGCCATTCTGCAGTGTCTCCTGGGATAATGGACCAGTCATTTTAATGAACTGTGGTTCTTTTACAATTCAGGAACGTCTGAAGCGTTACAGTGCATAATTCACAGCTTAACTTCAGTCCTAGTGTCAGTGTCTGCGGGTTTCTTGCTGTGTAACATTCTGGTAAAGTCTCCAAGTACCTTATCTGCTCTTTTATTTTATTTTAATCTTTACTTTTCAGTTGCCCTCTGACTCCTTTTCAGAACTGCATTTATACAGACTCCCTCGCTCTTTACAATGTTTGGTTTGTGTAGTGACTTCAACACTGTCTTAGATCTAGGATCACACAAATGCTCTTGCGGTTTTGTGGTCACCACTGAAGATTGCGGTATGTGGTGGGCTGAGATATTTTTGCCAATAGGTGAAATACAGCTGGTTTTCATTTGAGGGGAAACCTGACAAGGCTAATACACTGTCACAATAATTCAGCACAAAACACTGAAGTTTCAGATGTTCTCCCATATTTTCCCAGCGTATATATGTGACTCAGACACTTTGGAGAAGAGGAACACATACCTGTCTATACAGTGCATGCATATTAACGTGCATATACTCATTTCTGATGTGAAGGAGAAAAATGTGCCAAAAGTCTCCTGCACAATGGAAAAAAGGTAGATTTTCTGAGTGTGAGGGTGAGAAGATGAGAAGGAAGGAGGTGTTTGAGCAGTGAAAGTACAATGGAACATTCCTCTCTGCCCTCCTGCATGCTGCCAAAAGCTCCAAAGTGAACAAGGCAAAGGAGGTCTGAATTTAGAACAAAGAGGAAGAGAAATATTATCTTCATAATTATGGATAAAAACGTATTATAAATGGGATAAATGGTTGTCTCTTCCCCTATTCCAACAGAAGCTTGCTTGAATATTAAGAGTGCAGAGCTGTTAATTTATCTGCACCTCAGTTGTAGAAAGACAGATCAACTATGTCCATAGATGCACTCTGCAAAGGAGTTGTAGTTCCAAATTGCCAAAATGGTTTGCAAAAGAACAGTCCTTGCTATGAGGCACAGTGGGGTGTACTTGGAAGAACCCTGAGTTGAGTTGGTAAAGTGCTGATCTGGGAATAGTACTGAAAATCAGTGTAAGATACAGAAAACAGCAAATTAGACAGAATGATAACATATGATTACATGAGTGATCTTTCTGCATTGGGGGACTGAAGCTGTATCACTGCAGGGTGCTGGACAGACCTCCTGATGCTTTGGAGCTGGCTTGCCATGTTCAGTGCAGAGCTGCTCTCTGCACTGTGATATTGTTGATGAAGACTGGCTCAGCAAACTAGTCTGAATTTTCATTTAATTTGTTAATTGGCAACTTCTCATGGTGAAAAACGTCCTCAGTTCACAAAGACAGAGAAAAACCATTACACAAATGAATGCCTGAGCCTGGTACTAGCTTACCTCACATTAGATGGGAGTGAGTTTTACAAGCAGGCTGACACATTTCTTTATAACAGTCTAGTATAACTGTCATTTGATTTTGCCCATAAAAATCCTTCTATAAAAGCAACAACTAAGGAAATCATGTTCTGGGTTTGAATTTCATAAAAACAGAATTGCACTTTTGATACAACTGCTCTTTTTATGATGTCTGTGAATAATTCTCCATTTAGATTTCAAGTTACAGCCCTATGCAATTTTTAAGAAAGCCACCTTAAAATCTCCTTGGAATAGGCAGAAACAGACTATTACCTGTATGTAGTCTGTAACTTGCTGGTGTCTTTGTTTAGCTGCAGCGACTTCACTGTCTGAAATTGCTTCCCTTAGGGATTGCTGGGTTTTCAGGGAGTCCAGCTCTATGACAGCAGAAAGGCGGCAATACAAGCTTATAAATTTTTCCTTGTAACAGCAAAAATGAACTGTGAAAAGACCAAGTGCAAAGGAAACATTGTTTTATTCTGGTTATGAAATATGAAATCCTTAGCTTTCAGAGCACAAGTTTTATTAGATATAATTACTAACTCTGGATGGGTTACTTTAAGCTAGAAATAAATAATACAGGCTCTAATTCTCCTCTCATTTACACTGGATTTACTCTGTAACTTCGCTGATTTTAAAAGAGTCATTTCTAATTTATATCTAAGTGAAGGGATAATCACGTCCTTAGTATGCAACTCCAGAGGCTATCTTAGCCTTGATAGCTTCAATCAGAAGGGCTGTTTCTGAGGCTTTTATAGCTCATCATTTCTTTTATCAAGAAGGCAGTGACATGACTGGAAAATGGAACTCATCTCTTGTTTTTTTTTAATTGAGTGTTTCAGACCGAAAGTATCATTTCAAAGGGTGATAACTTGCTCTTGGGCTAGCCTGGCTGAAATCAGTAACTGAAATGTAAATGACTCAGCAGTAAAAGTATCTCAGTGGTATCAGTTTGGGTGAAGCAATTAAAACTCTGTTAGGTGTTAGCACACATCATGCTCCCAACTCTCATGCAGAAGGGTAATAAGAAGGTGCAGACGTGACCTCTTGCTTTGTGTGATTTGACTTTGGAGTGGCACAGAGCTGTCTGAGCTACCTCTGAAAGAGGTAATTAGGAAGACACAACAGCTCCAGTGCCGTGGAGCTTTGCAAGTGTTAGTTTTCCTGGCCTCTTAAAGCTCCATTATAGAACCTGCAATTGCACAGGCAAGACTTAGCAGTTATCACTATGAACCTCTGCACAGACCTACTGAAATTTGCTCAGGGAGAGCTCAGAAATACTTCCCCATTCAGTGGTGCTTCAATAAATGCAAGCACAAAGCATGATGTTGTTATAGGAGTGACTGCCGGGTGGTTTCTGCTGCTACTTCTCTGGGCTGGGGCAGGGTATTTTTCAGGGTGTTTCAAGTGTAAATTGCATGTATTGTTCTTATCATAAGTATCAAGAAAGAAATCAAACCAGCATCATGTGTCTGTCTGTCCCATGCAAACAACATTATTAGAGTAACTGAGAAGACTTTTTCAACCTAAGAAATCCGCTCACAGACACATCATTAGCATAACAGTAAGGGCCTAATCTGAACATAGAAATCTCACAAAAAAGAGTGAAAGAAAGAATTCTACCTTCTGGTTTCTCAAAGATGCCGAGATATTGCAGGGATCTAGTCTGAATAGTGTGTGGTCTTACAGTATATGTGCCATATGTGGTGGACTCTTGAGTGAATTACAGCCGCGGTTTCAGCTCCAGTGCTGAAGTTTCTAGCCTTTGTGGTTTTAAGTCAGACCCTTTAATGTTACTTTAACAAATGTTGCTTCAACATAGTCTTTTGTGGTTATGCAACTATATAGCTGGTAGCCACCAGCTAATGGGGAATGGAAGCTTCTAATATTTGAGATGTGAATCACAGTCACTTTATAGAACATCAGGGATACATATATAATGTCATATAGAAATGTCATCTGTCTTTGGCTAGATGATTGCTTATATAAAAATACTCAAACATCAAATTCACTTTCTGTACTGTTTTCTGCACCATGAACTGCTAAACAGAGAGGTCTGCACTCGGAGTGCCTTTTGAGAGATTGCTCTGTTGCATGTTTATCTGCACCACATCACCCCATTCAATGTCTATTGCTTTCTCAGCCTGATGCACACTATGTCCCAGAAGTGAGAACGACTCCTGTCCCTGGCCTGTGTACCACACAATGAGAGTTAAATAGTCTGCAAAGCCTCTAGCACAGAGATTAATTTCACCAGAAATGAGTATGCTTCATGCCTTAATTTGCACATTGAGTGCAGCAGTCACCTCTCACAGGAAGAAATGATATGCTCAATACACAGTCTAATAGTGAGCTTCAGGGTTGTGTGCTGGGAAGATAAGTCTGGCTTTAAGCACTACAGCCATGGACATATGACCTAAAGCATTGAACTAACTCTTCTAGTTCAATTACATCAGTTTTCTTTTGAAGGGCTAACTTCCTGAGCTCATGTATTGTGGATCTGGAGCGCTCATAATTATGTGGCAGCTCAGCTAGCTGTCATCTGGCCTCCTACAACCAGCATAAAACCCCAGAGCTGTCATAGGCACCACTCTGTGTGCCCTGGCTGGTGTGGAATGAACACTGTTGTGTGTTCCTGTTTGTGTACTTGTGTTGCTGGATGATGGTAGGTCACAGATCTATTGTGACTGCAGAAATACAGTGTTGGTAAGATCCTCCATTAACATCTAATCATTGTTCTACTACATCAGTGATTCTAACTGCACTTAGCAATGACATACAGGAAATAGGATGGTAATGGTGTCACATAAGCACCTGAGAGAGATACCAGTGAGGACACAGTTGACACTAGAGGCATATTCTATAGTGGCTGTGTGTGTACTGACTCCATCAGTTTTAGCTTATACCTTTCTTCTCTTCCCCACGGCAGAGGGAAGAAAGATATCCAGTTTTACAGGCCAGAAGGAAACAGAGGAGACTAATGTGTAAGGCTCAGCAGTGCCCATACTTACAATATTCTTTCTAAGAAGAACTATTAAGTCTTTATGAGCTGCTTTTATGTGGAACCTTTCTTTTCTCTGTGGACCAAACAAGAAGGAATGAGAAATAGAGGACCTTGAAGCTAAAGCATCATATGCCTTCTGTGAGGCAGCTGGAAAACTCTGTTTTGGGGAATTCTTCCCCAGCCAGAAATGCTGTGGAACAAGAGGGTTGAATCTGCTGCAGCACAGGATCTGCTCCCTAAAGAAGCAGGTTCAAGTCCAGTGCTTTGGCATTTTCCATAACTGCAATGGGACTATCTTCTGCATTTTTCCAGGAATCAGAGGGAAAAATGATGACCCTTACATGGGAAACTCCACTCACCTTTCACAAAGCTGTGAGGGAGTCAGACTTTGCAGATAGTCAGACTACCTGCAATCAGAAACTGCATAAATTCTCCTCTACAGAACTAGTGATGATTCTTGTGACAATTTAGAGGGATTCTTTTTTGCACCTCCTTTCACACTCCAGCCTTGCTGTGTTGTGTGTAATTTTGTTGGTTCTGTTTTTACAGAGCACATCATCTTCCAAATAAGCTTCTAGACACATACTGGATAACTGTGGGCTTTGCTCTATGCTTTGCATTTCAATAACGATTGCTACAGTATATGCTTTAACTGCTCTGCTCCCTCTATAACTTGTACACAGTTATAGGTAGTGTTGTTGCCAAAGCCATCATGTGATTTATTGACTCTCCACTGGGACAAGGGGGAAAACAGATACAACTTTGTGATTTTATTATAAGGAGACTGGGTTAATATTTCTAGGTGAAGCAAGCTACTATACCGAGTTCAAACATCTGAAGAGGGAGGTTAAGAAATCCTGAGTGTGGGGTGTAAGGATTATTCTGTCCTGGGGCAGTGCAGACGTCGTCTGAGGCGGGGAGCAGGAGAAGAAAGGAGACATTGTGACCCAGTTCCAACACCTCCTGTGTATACAGACGGAAGTGCTTAGCCTGTAGAGGGACACGCGCGGGGGAAGAAATAGGAGAGAATTACAACATGGCACTTATATAAACAACACCCCAAATGATATAAAACATTAAAGAAAATTTGCACAACATCAAGCTCGGAATTTTTATAAAACATAAATATTTGGGGGGGGCTAAATGTGGGTTCATGTCACTACATAAAATAAAGATTTAAAGCTGCAATGTTCCACATTAAAACAACACACACAGGCACAGCCCCCCTGAAAACAACATTTATGTTTCTTATTAGGCAGAAAATGATCACATGCTATGTGCTTTTCAAGATTATGATTGCATAATTATGTGAAAACATGAAAATGGATTCAATTAAAAACCTTTAAGATTCAATTTAGGGTTGGTTAAGAGAAATATGCAGCTCTCCCTCAACACAGCACTGAAAAGGTTTAACAAGTGCTGCAGCAAGAGAAAATGGCACACACAGGAGTTGGCCGGAGGCTGCTGTAGAGCTGCTGTGTGCAGCACTGCGTTTTAGCCTGGGCATGCACCAGCATCACTGCCCATTGTTCTGTTTACCACCAAAATAATACAAATACATAAATAAATCTGTTAAATTAAAAATGGAATTAATTCACACAGGAGTTGGGTCTTGAGCCATCAAAACATCTACAACTGTTTAACTGCAAGGTCATGTTTACGTCTATCTCTCGTGTACAATAGATGAGCTTAAATGCTTGGCTGAGCTGCAGCTGAAGGAATATATTGCACATTCCTAGGTTAAAAAAAAAGATACACAAAAGCTGTAACCTCCAAGAAAATACACCCTCATAGAGACCTGTACAGAGCTCTATTGAATTAGAGTGACTGACCACAAGGCAGCACACCATCTGTCTTAATTTTGGATTTACTTGAGCCTTACTTGGCTCTTCCCAGGCTAGAAGGTGCAGCACTGATGGATTCCTTTTTAAAAGCAAAGCCTAAGCCTTTCAAAATCAAGAAATGTAGGTGCAGATTAATTTATTGTAAGGCCACATCTTTCGAGCTGCACAAACAGACCTCGAAGCGAATATAAAGATGATTTACTTCTTCTTTAAGCCCTCTTTACCCACGTAGACCAAAATAAAATGGAATTCATGTAAACAAGAAACAAACTCCTTAGCTTATTTTTTCATGGATCTTTCACATCATAGATTATCCCCCCGACTTTATTTATTCACATATGCATTTCTTGCACATAAATGTAAAGCCAGAAGCCAGATACCTCTCCTCACCCACAGCAATCTGGAGGTCTAGAACTATGTGGTTTAGGAGTGCTACGTTTGTCTATGTGTAAAAGAATAGCAAAACGCTGTGTCTTCAGCAGCCTTTTCATATGCTCTCACTGTTGCCTCCAGAAGAACAGTATTGCCCAGCTTGCCTGGAAGAATACCTGTTTTACTTTGCCAGCTGGGTAAAGGCTCTCACAACTACTAGTTTAATGCAAAAGTGCCTCTTTGCACCTGCCTGAAGTTGCACAAATGCTAACACATGCAAAAAATAGGACCTAATTGAAAATTGTCTCTTAATCTTTGTATGTTCAGATATCCAGGAAAATAATGGGTTTATTGAAGATGTTCTTCTCACCCCCTTCCCCTTAGAATAATGGAATACAGAACTTCTCTGCTTTCCTTTTCTTGCAACCATATCATTTAATCCCTGCTTGCAAGTTATACAGTTTGTAGCTTATAGTTGTGTGCTTAAGAATCAGTTTTTAAGAAGGTGATAAATACCACAGAGGAAAATACCTGATGCAGAGGTAGATTGATCTGTTTAAGGAGAGCTTTCACTGCCATCTGGAGCTCATACAAGAACAATTGAGTAGGGCAGTCTGAAGTATGATCCATACTTTCCACAGATTCTGAGCCAGAAAGTGTTTGGATCCATTCCCACTCATCTCTGTATGTTGAGTCAAGTTAAAATTAGAAATACAACAAAAGTTCAGTGCACAAGCAGGAATTCAGTGTATGTGCATTTGGGATCTGTTGATAGTTTAATCCTCATATAGCAAAACATTCTAAACTTGTGCAGCCCTGATTGTTTGTGGTTAACAGTCTGACTTTGAGACGTGTGATTTTTCTAGCACATGTACATCAAGCTGAACATTCCTTGCAACCCTGAAAATCCAACTGCCTTTAAAAGATTTCACCAAGGCTTCTCACTCCAGGATTTCTGTTTCACATACTTCATTCCTATCTACCACAACGTTTTCAAAAGCATGCATTGGAAATGACAACAGTGACAATTAGCAGGAAGTTTCATTTCTGTGGCAGACTCTCTTCCACTCACTGGAACCAAAGAACTTCCTGGTTTGCTTGACATATATCCATTTTAGACCTGATAAACATGGGAATCATCTTTCTGGATCAAACCCTTAATGCACCCTGCCCAGTATTCAGTCTTGAAAAGCAGCCAGCACCAAACATTCAAGAGAAAAAAGTACAGGAAACCCCACTAGTAGATGAGTAATAGATGTGGTACAGTTTGCTCCTAAATAAAGATCTGATCGCAAACTTCAAGAGTCAGAGGTTGGTATAAACTCTGAAGCACTTGGCTTTATATTCCTTCCAAAATGTTTGTTAATACTAACTACTACATTCTGGATATCCTTGCTGTCCATGCAGATAGCCAGCTCCTTTCCTCATGCAAAATTATCAGCTGATTGCTGAAATGATAAGGGATTAAAAAGCTCTGGAAGGAAGCCAATAAAATATGTTGCCCACTAGGCAAGGACCAGGCAGTACAAGTAAGTGCACTTGCCTAATTGAAAAGGGAAGCAATGGACAAAGGGACAAATGGCCTTCCCAGAGCACAGCAGTTCAGTGGCTGGTGGCATTTGTCTGAATATGTGTTTTGAATTGATGTATGTTTGCTGTGGATTAGAGAAACCAGGTATTGCACAAGGAAATACACAGAAAAATCACACCATCAACACCCCATGGTCAGGAGAAATCAGGAAAAAAGATGACATTGAATTCACTGGAGGCTGAATCCGGGATGCAGGCTATGATCTTCCTAGTAGATATATGGAAGATCATTACCACTGTGCGGAATTTGAGCGAGCAACATAATACTATTCCTAGAAACCAATGGGCTCATCTGGATGTGTTCTGGATAAGCCTTCAGACTGCTGGAAACACACAGGTCCACCTTAGTTCGGTGGTGATATCTGTGCTGGTACACCCCTGAGCCAGACTTTGCTGGCAGCTACCATTTTGCAATGGTAAAATTGCCTTAGAGTTTAAATTTGATCAGTTGTTTTAAACTTGAAACAAATGTTCTGTATAAATATGTCTGTATAAGTATGTATGTATTCACTTACCTGGAGACATTGCTGTTGTCTCGGATTTTAACATGACACAGGACATTAGGCAACTTCTGCAACACAAGCACTTTGATTTGATCCACAGAGCTGCAGAGTTTAAGGTAACCCAGGTACAAGCCGGGAGGGAGGCGCTGCTGACTTCGTTTGTGATAGGTGAGTATGTCCTGTTTGAAGAGAAACAGTCCTACATAAAAATGACATGTTTTTTCTACATAAGGGGAAGTCTTTGGGATAAAAAGCAACAAATGTTTTTACATCCATCTTTTTGTTTCAAGTGTTCCCAATTCACACACCATTTAAGCATGTGCTTAAGCATATAAATAATCTCTGGTAGTTTGGATGCACTTGGACAACTTAAAGTCATACACAAGTTTTCTAAGCTCTCAATGTCATGTAGGAATTGGGTCTAAAACCTAAGGTTTCAATCTTCTACAACAGCAGTATTTAAACTAGCTTAAATAGCACCCACCTCTGCACGCCTGCCTGGTCCTTTCTGCAGTGAGCTGGGTCAGGGAATTGATTCTGCTGAAAAACAACTTGGGAAAGGAGCAGCCAGAGCTGTTCCCTGGTTCACATTTGGCGTGTAGCTGCACAGATGGAGTAGAGCAGCACTGGGACAAAGCTGTCCCCTGGGGAAGGTGGGAGAGAGGGAGCTGTATAAGCCAGTACTGGCACCAAAGAAATCCCTTCAGAGTCCCAGCCTGCCTGTTCTGTGTCACCTGCTGTCAACAGGGAGATCTCACTGAGCACCGCCATTGGTGGTTTGCTAATTTTAATTAACGGCTGTGTTTTCTGCACAAATGTCTTTACCAACGAACAGAGCTTAGACAGAATTAATAATGATGGAGGATTTGCTGAAGCCAGGAGATGCTTTTAAAGCTATGTATAGCAGTCTCCCCAAACTACCCTGAAAGTGATGTCTGCTGCCATCCTGAGAAATGTGTGCTGCTGCAGCGGGTGAGGATTAAGACACCTGGCCTTATGCCTTTACTCTTGGAACCATCAAATTATCTGCCAGTGCTGTACTTGGCTCTGACCAATGCAATTAGACCCTCATTTTCACAAGCACTTCATGAACAAAATACCCATTCGATGATTAAACAAGTAAGAGAAGAAAGGGTGGGCATTAGATGGGAATGTGTAAACCACCAGGGGAACATTTTTTCCACTAGGATCATTGTGGGAATCTGACCAGGCCTGTATTTTGGGTTTCCTAATATAAAACTTCTGCTCAGATTGACATTTTTCTACACCTTTAACACGTTTTAATACATTAAATCTAACATCGATCAGGTAAGTTTTATTGTCTTTTGGAAATGTTTTAATGTTCCTAAAAGCTGGTAATGTGTATTTTGATTGCCTCGTAGTTTCCGGTGCAAAAAGCACAGTCTCTGCCCAAGAAGGTGCCTCTAATTCAAACCTAGCCACAGCAGTCATCGTCTAGTCGAGAGTGCTAAAGAAGGGACTAAGTCAGTGATTTGTCTTGTAGTGTTTTGGGTAACCATGCAAGTGAGGTTTAGAGGTTGGCTACCGACACTTTGGGAGACATAGATTGTTATTACCTACAGAAAACATGTATTAGTATTTAACATTACCGTTTAACATGAGTTTGCCAGTAACCCTGATTCTTGAAGGGCTGAAAGCTCATGGCTCTCAATGATGTTAACTGAACTAACTGTGCAAAGTGACTTCTAACATCAATCCTTACCTTTTGTTTTCCTAATTGTGAAGTGTAGGGGCATGTTACACAGAAATTAAAGGAGGGCTATGGTCAGTAAAGAATTCTTTAGCAACTATACCAGGCTCCAAGGAACTCTGAACCTCACAGAACAAGTTTATTAAGTAGAACAGTAAGGTTTTAAACCCAGATTTAGTGTCCAAGGTTGGATGGAAAAATCTTATGGAGTGTAGAAATTGTAAGTGTCTGTATAGGTGCTTAAAACCATCCCAGAGAATTTTAAAGGTTTTTATATCCCTTGCTATGAATTCTATAGCATGGTTTCCCGAAACTGATAGAAACTACTATTCTACGTTAGGACTTTGAAGTAATTTCTTTAGAATGTCATGGATATTTTACATATTAAGGATCTGATCCCAGACCCACTGGAAGTAATATAAGTCTTTGCTTTCAATGGGAGCCTTGCCATTAATTTTATTGGGCACTGGATTAAGGCCTAAAATTCTACAAGACTCTTCCAAAAGTCAGGGCTCTGGCGCAGGCTTTACAAAAGCCAATAACATGCAGTAAGAGAAGCAAAGCACTACCTGGATTGTTATAAGCAAGATGTCTAATGCTGTTGGCTCCTCTGGAGTTGAGAGGGATTTCCTCTGGCTTTGTAGTTTGGATACCTGCATCCATTTGCCATTGAAAAATGAATAAAGACTCTCCACTTCTCTTATAGTCACTATCAGCATATTGCCATGTCGATCCTTGATTGGCTCATAAAAAACTCTGCCTAGGTTGTGAGTTCCCAGCAAGTTCTAGAAAACAAGCACATTATAAACCAAATTTATTTGTCACATAGCAGGAGAGTGGTATACGTTGAAAGGTAACGTTGTGCTCACTGACATCAGTCCTGGTGACTTCAGTAACACCGAGACACACGATCTTTCTCAAGCACTTGCCCTATATCGTATCATTTAGTGGCAAAAGGAGCAGTTTTTCCCTAGGTCGTGCTTGTGGATCCTCCGACGCATTTGATTCAGCCGTGTTTAGTCTAACATTTAATGGAGAACAGAAAGACCATTATGACCCAGCGCCTTTGTAAAAGGAAACACTGCAAAGTAATTCACTTACTTAGACAGAACTTCCTATTTTTCCTCTGTCTTTTAAAGATCAAGGGTGCACTTTCTAAAAGCACTTAGTGCTGGTCTAGTGGAGACTCCTTTGGTATCAATGAGGCCCTTCTGATTTGAACTTACTGAAGAGCTAGGTGCTTATCTTCACCTCCCCATAACCAAGTGTCAGCGATGATACAAAATTCTTTGTCTATCCCCAAATTATTCATAATGGACACTTCCAAGTTTTTTCTAACTGTAATCTCCATTTTCTGGTCTCTGTTTTAAAATTATTCAGATTATTTTCAGCAACAGAAGCGAGAGGCCCTCATATCTGTGTTGAATGTAAATAATTTGGAGCTAAACTGTGGAGTGTGTTTCTGAAGGAACACAGAAGAATTTGAAGAGATGTGGACCCTTTTCCTTTTACTTCAGATACCAAGAATGTGCTAGACAAAACCAGCAGCAAATAACAAACTCCCAGGGCAAAGCTCTCCAGGAAAATATGTGAGGATTAAAGAAAAGTAATTTTAAAAGGCTCCACATAAAATACATATTTTGGTCAAAATCCCTTTCCTCACACAGTAAGGCATCTGCTTATAGGTGCAAACACACTCAATCCAGTGACCAGCCACTGAAGAGATTCCCAGATGTCTTAAAGAAAAATGCCTGACATTTAAAATATGCTCGTTACTTTGTGAGTTTTCAAGAGATCTACAGTAAGATGGGTAGGTAGGGGGGTAGTTTGAAATGAGAACTTGAATTCACAATGTAGCACATTGTATGTTTAGGGAAGTGCTGTACATTAACTTAATGACATTGTAAATGGATAGATTATCCTGAAATTATTCATCTGTACTTAGCAGGCAATATTTACTTATAAACTGTATTATTAAATTGCTTATAAACTCTAGGTAGTCAGCACAGTGACTGCCCATTACGTAGTGAACATAACTTAGTTATTTTAGCTTTATGCATCCCTCCCCAGGGCGTACTGTTGATGTCTATATGACACCTCGCCTCTTCTTTTTAACTGTTCTGCCCTTTGAGGTAACTGATTAACACTGGGTGTCTTGAGTATACATTTTGTTTTAATTCATGTGCCCACAGGTGGGACAGACCATGCAGGTAGATGTTGGCCATCCAGCTGTCAGATGAATCACTGCAACATATGAATGTGCCTAGGTGAAAACAAACAGTTCTTTACTGTTGCTGACTGCATATTCTGAATGGCGTTGCAGCATAGAGAATGGAGGTACTTACTAATAAGAATATGTGACTAATTCATATACTGAAAATTCATATACTCTGCTCAGCCTGGCACCCCACCACTTGTGTTTTGTTTGCTTTAGTTGTCTAGTAGTAACAACAGGCAAAATTACTGTCCCTGTTGTCTCTGAATCTGCTGATCTAGTCCCTTAGCAGCTGTGTTGTCACTGATCTTTTCCATTCTGTCCTGAATTCCTGCAGAGCCAGTCTATTAACTGCCTCAGTAAAATGTATTCAACCATATAAACTTTACTGAGATCTTTCCATTGGCGGATCCCATTAGGCCACACACCGTTAGAGGCTGGCAGGCCGGTGACAATCCCTGTGCTCATCAGGGGACAAAGCTAGCAGAACAAACGTTAAGGACGATAAATTTGCCAGAGTCAGCAGAGCAGTATACCACATGGACACATTTGCTGTGTCTCTGTGCTTCGAGTGCTGCTCTTAACATCTCTGGTAGCAAATAATAAAACAATGTACCAGAAACCTTGGTTATCTCCAAGTGCATCCTAGCAATGCTCAGTTAAAGGCAATCAGCACAGGGGGAATGAAGCTGAGCTAACCAAAGGAGCTTGTGCTACCTAAGCTGAGCTAACCGCACCAGAGGGAACATTCAGCAGATATAGTTAAAACTTTCTCTAGTGACAGCTCAAAAGGACTGACAAGCAGCTGCTGCTTAACACAGGTGGTCCTCCAATAAAGGTACAGCAGACTGGCATTCCAGATATTTCGGGATACTTTGGGGAAATCAGTCCAGACAGGTGGTTGCCCATGAAGGCTACTCTCCTGTACAGCAGGCTTTGCCAAAAGATGTAAAACAAACCCCACATGGATATTCTTAATAATGGCCACAAAGTATCTGGGTTTCATAGTGCTGTAAAACCAGCTTATTGCATCAGCTGGCAATAACGAGGGATGGTTGTGTGGCTAATACATGAGCCAAGCAATATCAAGGTCTTCATTAGTTCCATGACTGTACCATAGATTTTTCTGGGAAGCTTTGGTGACTTCATTCAAACAAAAGGTAGGAGAAAGCAGGCCCTGGATATACTTTTCCTATGAGATTTATGCACGCATCTTTTTGAAAATGGATCTTCCCACAAAAATAAAACTCTCATGAGATTTCAGCTTGTCATGAAACCCATTCTTCAAAAGCCTTATAATACATGTTGAAATGTTCTGCTGGAGAGAGTGTCATTATTATTTGCATATGGAATAGTGGACTGAGACACAGAAGGACGAAGTGACCTGTTCAGTACCACTCAGTTTGTAGCACAGATTGGAACAGAACCATCCTGAGGGTCAGTGCTGTGCCTCGACAATGTGATATAAATAGTCCACACAGTGCTGCTGCCCTGTGCTGAGGGGTCAGCACAGGACCTGTGCACCACTGAATCTCTCTAATCTCTGTTTTTAAGGGTTAAACAGGTCTCTGCTGGTTCTCTGCACAAAGGTACATTTCACCTTAAATAACTTGGCAGCTCAGTTAGGAACTCAATGGAAGACTGAATTTTACTTCCCTGCTGACAACACACAACAGCATAGCCATCCTGTTGGTCAAACGGTGAAGTTCTGCCCCAGAAGCTGTACTTGAGCAGTTTGTAAGGCATGGGTGAACCAAGAAATATGCAAAGCAACCAACCTGTAGCTGTGCTGCTGCTGAAAGCATCTTTTGCCTGGCTTGAAGTGCTGTTGATGAGGACACGGATATAGACATGTTCTGCCTTAGCCATCTGATATCATCCCACATGCAAGACAACTGCAAAAATATATCCAGTTCAATGAGGTTTTGTTCTCAGCATTTTACAAAAGCAGAAATGAAACTAAAAGCGTTTTGGACTTGGAAAAACCAGTAGGTATTGCTCATTTTGAGTGTCTGCGGGTGGCAGTGACTTGCCTAGATAAACATGAAACAGACTGAATCAGACACAGAAGTTGTTCTGTAACCGTCATGCACCTCTTTCAGTTGCTTTTTGGACTAATGTGTAAAACTGATTTACTGGTTTTTGCCCTATAAGAAATAGTGTGAAGATATTTTGAATGATAGCATAGCCATAATACCAACTTTAAATTTTCTAGTTATTTCTTTATGCTTTTCCTCTAAATGTCCATAAACCCTTTATGTACCCAAGTAGCCATCACTTGTGTAGGCTCCTACATATAAGAGTTAATTGTGCCACTGCCAGTGACCCACTCAGAATTTAACCCATATAAATGGCTTGTTAGCTTTTTAATGACATCATTTCATATATTAGAATGATGAGCTAAGGCCTGTGCATTACTAGCAACAAACTGGTAGAAGCAATACATGAAATTAGGCTCCTGTTACCTTTGTGAACCACAGGAAATCCTGCATAACTGAGCTACTGTGGGAGTCATCAATTTCCACAATTGGGATTTGATCTTCATTGGTTACTAATAAATTGTCTTTGTAAAAAAATATAACAGCTAAGTAGAGTCCCCTGAAGAAAGAAGGAAACAATTATTATCAAACACCTTTCATGTCTATTCACATCCATGGCAAATTTCAGTCAAAGAATCATAGATGTTAAGTTCCGAGGAGACAAATCCAATCATCTGGTCTTAACTTCTGTGCTATGTAGATCATGCAACTTCAGCCAGTGAATTCTGAAACCCATTTGGGGAGCTTATCACATTAGATGATGTGAGACTACAGGAATCTAAGAAATTAGGAATCTGTGCAAGCCACTGACATCAGCTTCAGTAAGGATTTTGCCAGCGTAAACAGTACACAATAGAGGCTTTATGCCCTTTAGAAATCAGAAATTTTACTTAAACTTTTTATCATTAATGGGCTTAGTTCTGCCCTCCTTTGCTTCACAGTAAATCTAAAGTAACTCAATTGAAATCAGGTGGGTTATTATGGATTTACATTAGTGTAATTGAGTGTAATTTGGCCAGCATATCTCAAAACTGTTTATAGAGATCATTCCTTTCAATATTTACCCTTGCAATTAGTTACATACGTTAAGTAGCTGCCTTAGGGAATTTAAAGGCTCTGGAGAGCTCTTCTGAAAGAATCAAACTCTTATCAAAATACAAAGAAGAAAAAGCAGCTGAACACTCCTGGCAATGAAAAAAGAAATAATCCAGCATAAGCAGCTTCCGTGTGCTAAACCAAATCATCACGGCTGAGGGTTGCTTGGGTCACACTGGGTTGCAAACCTAGCTAAAGATGTTGGAGGATTCTAGATGTGTTGCTTGTTGCCAGTGGACTATGAAAACATGTTACCTGAGCTCTGCATTTTGTCTTATGAATTAAATAGATACCATAGTTTCATTCCTGAGCAGCAGCAGCAGGGGCCGTGCTTCCAAAATACCTCAGAAACTGCACTTGTGTTTGAGCAGAATATTTCACTCTGTTGCAATTCAAATCCATTTCCAACAGTAACAATGAAAAGATTCGGTTGATTTCAGTAGGAACTGGAGGATATTTTCCTATGAGCTACACCAGTCTTACATGTTCTTATCAGGTTCATTCTGATCAATTGCTGTTTCACTGCCAGTGGAATATTCACATGTATTTCTAAGGTGCTTTTCGCTATAAGAGCAACAACTGCTTGCTAAAACTTGACATGTTTGGGAGATAAAATGAATGACAAACCGTTTCAGAGTCTTCACAAACTTGTTTGATGAATGGAAAAGGTGCTTCAGGCTTCTGGAAACCGATTGCTTGCGACCAGCATTCTGTAGTTTAGAGCTTTCTAAAATGGAAAATAAAAAGCAAAACAAACCCAGCACTTTAGGTCCAGTTAGTGTCTCATAAAGAGCCTTTGTCTGTTGAACCACAACACTGAATTTCAGTCAGGGCCCACTGTATTCCCTCAAAAAGACAACATTTAGAAACATGCTCAAATACAGCCTTTTGCTTATCTTTTCAGTATCTCAGTGATATGTAACAATAAATATGTTTCTTACTTGAAGCAAACTTGGACTTGGTAAAACCATAGCTTGAACCAGAGCTGCATACTGTTAATGTTCAGAATGAATTCTGCAAGTGGTCTCAAAAACCCAGGAAGATATTCGAACCATCAGTCAGCATTTTAGGGTGTTGTAATTCCTTAGTTTCTGTCCATACATAACTTAAGCTTCTAAGAACTGCATAACTGGCAGTCACTCATACTACATCATCACAGTGACCTGAGTGAGAGCTTCAAGGAAAACTAGATAGACCCTCATCTTTCTCTATATCACATTAAATGCATGTGCTGTTGCCTGAATATTTTCCCCCCCATCACAACAGCTTCCACTCACCTGTATTGTTTCAGAGCTTTCACAGTCACATTTGCTCCCTAGTCATCTGGTATCCAAGGAAGAGGTTTTTAACTCATTTGCTGAGACCCTCTCTGTGCCTGCAAGGATCTCTGGGCCAGCTCTCTCAACATAAGAATTTTATAAAGTCAAATCTTTTGCCTAATATTGTAAAAAAAGTGGTTAAGTTTTTATACATGTGTTATTTTTCATTTTGATGAGTTGAACTTAATGTCTTTTGTTCTCTCACGCATGGTCTGAGTTTCCTTGTAAGCCAAGGAAAAATCTCCCAGTGGGAAGTGGAACTCCCAAGCTGTGGAGCAGCCGTGTCCACCTGTGTATCTGTGCACAGATTCTGGAGGGTATGCCAATAGATGGCAGTCAGGAACATGCAGGATTGTGTACTGCAAAATGTATTGTCAGTTGTTGTCCAGTTACGGCATTTAAAAGGAATGGGTGCTTACAACTGTTTGGGATTCTTTTGCATTGTCTTGCAATGTCCCTCCTACCTAATGCTGTTGTAAGAAAAACAGAGGAAACATTTGATTTAAAATAAGAATTAATTCTTCAAATATTTACTGTAATCTGAAAAGAAAGACAAAAAGAAAAATGAAACCATTTTCCGGGCTCTGACTTGATTTGGAGGATACCGATCCAGCCTGAAGTGTGAAACTGTTGAGGGACACCCTTCTCCAGTGGGGAAAAAATCCGTCTCATGAAGAACCATTTGCTGAAAGCTGCTGATCAGTCTGCTTAGGTGCTTTCAGAGTAACGTATTTCCCACTTATCTTCAGTGCAGAGTAAGAGGTGTCTGTCTGTGTCTCCCAAGTGAGTTCTAAGTTTGAACATTTAAAGAACATCTAAATGTGCTATTGTCAAAACCCCATCTGTGGAAGTGCTCAACATATTTTAAATGATGCATAAATTTGCACTGTAATTTGCACATTGAAAACCACGGAAAGAAGACACATTGTTAGCAATAATTACCACTTTGATGAACAGTACGTACAAAGAGAACAAGGTTCTATTGGGGGTGAAATCATGCACGATGTATGAGACTTATTAGATCATCAAATCCATTGTGTTTCCAGTGCAAACTTGTTCTCCGTGGCATATTCTCCACTGCACTGTTCAGTTTAGGTTTAACAGACTCATCCACAGCCATGACTGCTCCTTTGATGCAACTGATCTTTGCTTTCTTCTCCTTTAAAAACAATCCATTTGTTTTTCTATCCATATCTCCTGAGATAATTTCTATTTTACTGTGACCTTTTTTCGGTATATCACAGTAATGGAAACCAAATGGTACGTGAGACCTCCTGTCTTGCTGCTTCCTTCTTCCAAGGTTAAGACCAATTTAGGAATATAAATTTCATTCTCATTATGCAATTTTTATTTTCTTCTCTATTGCCTCCATCTCTATGGAGGGAATGGAGGAGGAAATTGCTGAAGGCAAAGCAACATAATTCTGTGTAAAGCACCCAGAGAGTGCAGCATTAAAATAAGAGGGCACATTACAAGTGAAATATACATTATTGGGCTGTTCAGTGGTTTGGGTTCAGGCCACAGCTTTGCAGAAGCCAACAGCAAAAGAAATAGTGTAAAACTAGATGGAGACTGTAAACTCCTATGTTGCTATTTGCTCGTTTTACAGTATAGTCTGTCTAGAAGCCAAAAACCATGGAGCTGAGATTAGAAGATAATTTGGATCTACAGGAAATAGAACTTTGTCTGTTATTTAATTAACTAATAAATAACATAGAGTAACCTTTATAGAAATGCACCAGGAACAACATTAATAAATGATACAGCGATAGAGCTGTGAGCTCTTTTAATAGATGCTCAGGAGTGAACAGATAGTGGCTGAGATTGGAGAATTTCCAGTGACTAGATTTAGATCAGAAGCATTCAAAGCCGGAGTGAAACAGGCAATTAACTACAGCATTAGCAGGTTTTCTCTTTCAGGTAGAAAATAGAAATGCTTCTTTGCAGTTCACTTCAATACAGGAGATACTTAAAAGAACATAAGTCAGCTGTGGAAGAGTAAGAACGACGTTGCATGCTCAGGCTGCCAGCATGCATCTGGGATCTCTGCTCTAGAGGAATGTCTGTTATGCTGTGCCATTTCTCTGAGGAGGAAGATCATCTGGAATTCTTTGTCCTATCACTAGACAAGCGGGTGCCTCTCCTCAAGTGGGGCAGATGTGAAGTGTATGGAAATGGAATTACCTCAGTGCAAAATCATCTGAGATCTCAGCCCCACAAATCAGAGGGCATGTGGAACAGCTAAATATCATTTAGGATGACCCTGAATGAGGAAGTAAATTAGCACAAGATGAGCTAGATCCCACTGAAATCCTAGTGGAGGGCATAAAATGGGGTTTAGAGTTTTCACTAATTGTGTAACCTTATGAAAATACATCCAATAGCTGGAAACTTCCAGATGAATTCAAACTCAATTTAACGCTGCTCATTTTTAGCAGTGCAGACAAATGACTCTGGGGTAATACGTATGGAGACGTAATTCCACACAGAAGTTAAAGGCGTAAGTAGTGGCCAGACAACTAAATAGCTCGAGACCATGATAGATTCTGTTTTACCTCACAGCAAGGTGAGATGTCTTTCACAAGACAATTCTGTATGTCATGAAGCATGACAGTTGTATCATTGGGAGGTATATTTTGGATTACAAAGTCAAGCACAAGAGCTGAAATTGTACCTTTTTTAATTCTCTACCTGAACTTCCCAGTCTATGGCTTGGTTCTCAAGCCTGGTTTTGTCTTTTCTCACAAATATTTGTAATCTAAACTCTTTAAATACCTGGTGAAATCAAAGAGCCTTCTCTTTGTTAAATGCAATAAAACTATGAGCCCTGCTTGTGAACCAAATTATGATTAGAACATTTTTATTTCACCTCTGACTTGTCTAGTAAAATACATTTCAACCAAATTTCAGAAGGAAAATATCTGGTAAGCATTTTACTGAAGAGTTGGGTTCCTTTCTTAATGAAGCATCACACAATTGCTTAATCCACTCAGAATTGTTTAGGAAGAATGGTCTACAAGAAAATAATACTTAAAAAATACATTTGAAGTGTTGCCAGGACATACAATTGTAGTAACTCAGTTATGATAGTCTGTAGCATGGTATTATGAAGACAAATGGATGACTGTTGTTTGTAATCATCAGGGTTTTCCAGAAGATTAAACATATGAAAGCAAAGCTTCCTAAGTAATTCCCTAGGAGATTTCATCATATCACAGAGCAGGTTCAAAAGCAACAGCTGATCTAATTCCAAAAGCTCTTAAACTCACTGTACATTCCAATGTATTCTTCCTGCCATTTTTGTAAGCTTGTTTTCTCTAGCGGCTGCAATGCAAAGCAGAGGGCAAAAGGCAGGCTGCAGTGTGAAGCCTGAATGAGCAGACTTGGGCAAGGGATCTGCCTGGAATCTGGGCAATTCACCCCTCCCAGATCACACTGGAGCTCTAGCACACAGCCTGGCTTCTCCAGCTCCTCTGTGTTCTGAGGCTTTTGCCTATGTTATCCAAGTAACGTCAGATCATTTACCCTCATTTTTTATCACAATCCCTTGCATTCACCCTCCACTCTCCTTCAACCAGCCTGAACACCATAAGCGTGATACCTTGCAGAGTAATCACTTAGTGAAAAACCAAGGTGCCAGGACACCACGTTTGAGTCCTATCTCTGTCTTCACCTAGCTTTTATTCATGCAGAGCTGAATTCAGCAGATCAGTGGCTGTAAGCAAATTTAAGGATACCCTACAAACAATGTCCAGCTATTTACATCTCTAAAACAACTGAAGAAATCAGAAATTAGAATATTAATGTCTAATCAAAGAAGAGAGAGGTAAAGAGGAGAATAGTAAGGAATAGACAAATGCCTGGGCAGGTTCTCAGCTTGTGTATCACAGCATATCCGTGCTGACTGCTATCCCTGTCAGTTGAATCATGCTAATTCACATTAATGAAGAATGCATCTCAGGCCTGTCTATTATATGGAGTGAAAGCCATTATTTGGGTTTGTCAGACATATACAGTAGCTTATCTGAGATCCTTGATTAAACTCCTCATATTTCACTGAGATTCACCAGAATCAAATTTCAGAGTCAAAGTGGTGTCATAATTCTTAATTTTCTGCACGCTCTTTGTCTTGATTCTTTACCAAATTACTGAAATACAGGGGATTTGCATCAGTCATATATTTAAGGCAAGTTCCAAAGGCCCTTCTATTATGTTACAATCTGATTTATCCAAAATATACTACTGTGCAATGCTAGCATTACAAGCAATTATGAGATTTTTACTTGGTTGGAGGCAAGGGCGTTGCTCAGGCTGACTCCCCAGTGTAGCACTGCCACATGCAAGCTCCCACATCCTCCTTCAGACATGCAAGAAAACGTTCTGAGCGAAACAGATTTTCTATACTGTTGTTATTTATTATTTAAGGAAAGGGAGTTAGGAAATCAACAACAGAGTTGTCTGTGCTTTGCTTTGAGACTGGGGTTGATTTCTGGAGCAGTGGGATTTTATCAGAACCAGGCACTGGTGTCAGATTCTCAAAAGAAAGGCTTTTCTGCATGTTGTTTGTAACTGCTGCTGTTCTGCTGTGTCAGTAAAACAATTTATACTATTTTCTGGTATTCCATCATTTTTTCCCTGTTTACAAGGAAGGTGGCCTGAAAGACCTGAGATGTGCACTAACTTCAGAAAGGGAAAACTGTACCATGGCAAAAAAGACTCCTTTAATAGTATGAAAAACTATGTAAGAGATGGAATACATCATCCGTATTTTCAGTAGCAAGGCCACCTGCAAGTGATAATGTTTGTATGAATTTTAATTAGAGAAACAACATTTTCTTGCAATATCTCCTTTCCCTTTCCAAGCAACACAGCTGAATACTTTAAGTTGCTATGGTTACAGTGGGTTGTTGCAGACTGTGGATCATCATGATAGTGACATATTTGCACGTAAAGAACAAAGGCTGCATCTTTCCATTTCAGCCAGATGATTTTAGCCCTAAGTATTTCTATGATTTTAAATGACTTGGTGCAGCTTGACATAACAGTCAGACTGTGGGAAGAAAAATGAAAACTTCATGGTAGTTCAACTTTCCAGTTTCAGATAAGTTCCTTTGCAATGAAGCATTATTCCAGTTAGGAGTTTATTCTAAGAAAGTAAATAGTACTTTTAAACAACCCATATAGAACAGGAGTTTCTATATATGCTTTAAAAAGAATGCCAAGCTGTTGTCTTGGCTCGTGAGCTGTTAAAGGCACAGTCTGTTTCTCATGAATGAAGAGCAAAACACTGGCTGAGATTCGAACTCTCTCCTAGTTTTGATCCATTCTATTTGAAAACGTAGCAATCTTATCTTCCCACTGCATTGTGCAAGTATTTTTCATTGGCATCACATCCATTGGAGTATTTAGTGTCTTCCATTTGGAGGCAGCCAAGTCCCCGCTTTTGATCCAAAACAGTTGTTAAGTCTCAAAAGTATTTCTTTATATGAAAAAATGAGGGAGATGCTTGAAACATTGTGGTGAAATCCTGTGTGAAACTAATTTGTAGGAAAAACCCCAAACCAAGAGGTGTGTAGGGTACAGAGGGAGAAAGGCTGTGTCTGTGCTTGCGTGCATTGTAGCTTTCGGATGTTTTCATCCAACTAATTTCAAGGGTTAAGAGCAAGATAGTCCACTAAAGTGATTCCAGATGGGCCAATATTAATATCTTTCTTTTCCTGATGAATGAGAAGGTATGACCTAGTTAGAAAACTGCTAAAATTACAGGCGCCGCAGAGGCTTCAGCTGGTGCCCTACCACATAGATATTCATCCTTACCTCTGCAATTATAATGCTGATGAGCTGCTCGAACCTGCTGAAGGAGGCGTTCCAGGGCCTCAGTGTGTCCCCTGTGCCGACGTTCTCTTCCACTGCAGTCTTTCCAGTCTGTTGAACAAAGGAAATAAACAGAGATGAAACACAAAGGTGCAGGAGAAGGTTTTAAAACATTTTCTTGCCTCTGATACTTCCTGGCCTTAGAGGATTTTTACATCTGAGCATGGAGGAAAAAGTGGCAGTTGTTTGTAAGTTCGCTGTATAAAGCACTTGTGCCAGTTGGGTAATTAATCATAATGATTATTAACAAAGAGCTCACAATCAGCTCCTAGAAGCTCCTCTAGTGACTGACTAGACAATGGCTATTTCTTTTCAGTACATAAGTGGCGTCTGTTGCTGCAGGGCCAGAGCTGTTCTCAGCCCATGCCGCACTGACACTCTTGGTACCTCACTAAGATCACACTGCTGGTCTTCTGCTTGAGACACCCCAGGAGGCTGGATGACTCTTCTACAGTTATATAGGAAACTGATTGCAGAGCAGAGAAAGAGCATCCTCCTACATGCAGAGCTAGCTCTGCAGCCAGAGAAACATGCTCACTTCTGAAAACCTGCTCTCAGCAGATGCTCGAACAAACGCTGGCGATTCCTGCCCTGGAGCACACGCTCTGCTCAGCACTGCACTCGTGAGGCAAGAAGCTGCGATTTCTGTCCCACATACCTCCAGCTTACAAAAGGCTTTGTTTTCACTCGTGTGCTGCTTGCTACAATCGCAATCTTCATTTTAAAACGCAAACAATCTCATCACAAATCGGAGGATGAAGCTGTGTGTATTAGAGAGGAGCTTTGTAATTCCAGACTTGCTTATTTTCATACTTTCCTTATTATAAGAAAAAAAGCATTGCACTGGTTTCCTGACCCAAACTAATGGTGGATCAAGGTATTAAGAGATCTGTCTGCAAGGGAGACATGTTTCCATCTTGCTGGCATAGAGGCTGTGTATGTATTCACAGCCACCAACAGTTTGCTCACTCACTAAATATACAGATCTAGTTTCTAGTGCAAGTTTGGAGTCAAGCATTCCTTCCAATAGGCTCACTATGCCAGGGATATAAATATGTATTTGCTGCCATTTAATAGAGCAGCTAGAGTAAGCCCCATGAAAGGGTGGAAAGAGAAGACATTTGCTATCCCGATAGCCTGTGGGCAGTTTTAACAGCTGCAGAGAGGCTCTCATGCATGTTGTATGCTACTGCAGAGATCAAGGGCTGACTGCATTTATAGCTCTGTGTGGGGACCCCAGTTCTTAGATCCCCTGTGAGCAGCCAACCTCAAAGTGCTTTGGTGTCATCAGACTGGTAGAGTTTTGAACAACCTCATGATTTCTCTCTTCCAGAGGTTTCCAGACTTTCTGATACCCCAGACCGCTGACACCCTTAAACATGACATGGAAGTCAGACTAGCATCCCTCACTGTCCATCACTCGTGCTACTGAATAAGCCTAGAAAGGTTACTGCCTGCTGTGATTTCACAGACCAGCTGCACAACACTGGCCACCACTTTCCAGGCTACTGTGTATGTGGAAGAAATGGGAGGACAGTGGCAAGCAGTGACTGTCATGCTACACAGACGAATCTACAAGGATGTCACTTTGATGCTCTGGGATTGGAATGGATCAGGATTAAGCCCTGAGGCTTTAATTTCCCTTGCATATTCTTCTGGCTGCCGTTACAGACAGCTTTGTAGAGCATTAATGTATTCGCATTTAATTTTTAGCTTAAGGCCATGTTTTGTTATGCAACACTGGTATAATTTCAAGTTGCTGCCTGCTTGCCAAGCACAAGTCTGCTAGTTTTCAAAACCAGTGGTGAAGGCAGTCATGTGGGTAAAGCAGTTCTGCCCCCAGTAACTGCACTGGTAAACAGCATCTTGTCTTTCAAGCTAAAATTCTGATGTTATTATTACTTAATGAAAGCATTTACATTTAAACCGTGAGGGTCTCTCTTGCTGTGAAGCTTAAGCTACTAAGGATACTTAACGAAAATACCCTTTTCTTGCCAACTATCTGTATGCAGTGAGCCAAGTCTGCCTAATGCTTCTGTGTTCATCAACAAAGAAAACATACATATATAACCATGAATAAACATTTCTCTTTGCCATAAACTCATAAAAATCACATATATAACAAATGATGCTCCTGCTTTCCTACAGGGAAATCCAAAAGACTTGTTACCTTTCAGAGAAACACCCCCACAGTGATTATCCCAGGCACTTCAGAGCCCCTGAGACACAAAACATGGGAAATAAGCTCAATTCTCTGTATAGTTTTTGTGTTAATCCACTGAAATCTGCAGGAGAACTTCCCCTGCATCCCAAGGCTTTGGAACTGGCATGTATGGTCAGATTTCAGGTTAATAACAGGGGACAAGAAATAGACAGGGAAGACAATGCAACATGTTCAATCGAAAGTGTGTCTCATACAAAGATAGAGCCTTAAATGCCACCTGCCTTGCCAGGTTGTGCCCAGTGCTTTGGGGATGTTTAGCTGAATAACTACCAGTTACTGCAGAAGCTGAATAACTACCAGTTACAGCTGCTGTAAATGTTTGGGTTGTGGGGCCCAATCCTGTGTAGATATACCTGACTATAGTCAAGGTAATTGCATGTCACTAAGTTATTCAAAACAACTCTGAAGTAGTGAGTTATCCATGTAGCCAAGAGCAGAATTTTGCCCCAAGTTTGTAGCACATTTTTGTTCCCAAACAAAATATTTCTTTAGTCTTGTTCTGGTTTTATTCTGGGATAAACAAGAGCAAAATTGAAGCAAGATGCTTCAATGGTACTGCAAGAACCTCATTTATCCAACCTTCGCCATTATGAATAGGTACAGCTTGCTTTATTTCTTCACATTAGCATGCAAGGTTATTAAATTGTTATGTTAGCCTAATAAAAACAAGTGCTAATGCAATAAAATGAAAAGTCCCACTTTACTGCATTATCAATACAAGGGAGGCTGTCATATGCTGAGCCAGTTTGGCAGTGAACACAAGTCTGGAAAAGCAACCAACAATACAATGTCATTATAATAGATTAAAAATTACAAATGAAAACTCACAGTCCTAATGGAGTCTGAGAAAACCTGTCACAGGTTTGAAAAGAGAGAAAGGCTTCTGGGCATGTCTAGACCGTTTTAGTGTATACAGGCTAGATTCTATCAACATGTGTGTCCACACTAGAGTTTATTATACGCAGGATGCTATAAGAATGGTGTAGTGAATGGGATCTATAATGCTACAAGGCAGAATACAAAATTACATATGATACTTGTGTTTTGCTTCCACGAGCTCAGATTCACCTTTTGATCCATTCATGTACTGAGAAATGAGGTTCCATGTAGCAGAACTCTATTAAGAGAAATGAAGGTTAAAATATTTCTCATTTTTCCACAAGTGTTAGGGACGAGGTGACAGTATTCTGTCAAAGGACTGGAGAAGACTAGCAGGTAAGATGTAAATATACAGAGATGATTATTGTGGTTATTTCTCAGGAGTGGGAGGAGTTGAGTTCCATTTATTTATTTATTTATTGATTTAACTCCTAGGCAGCATTTAAATCATCCACTCTGGAATATTTGTCTTTTTCTGTTATTTGAAGACAGAGCATTTTTACGTATCAGCATCACTAATCAAACTAGGAGGGCAGACAAACTCAACCTACTTGAAGGAGAAGCAGATTCAGGAGTAGATTTGCGTGGAGGTCCCCATCCTCTCATGTTGTATGCTGAAACACGGACGTAATACCTCTGGCCCTGCCAAAAAGAACCATACAAAAATAAATAACAAAAATGAAAATGATTGCTATCATCATATGTGTTCCTGGAGAAAGCAGAAGAGAAAGAACTGTTATTTTAGCTGCTGGTCATCAGAGTAAGGTCTAGATCTTCCATGAGCCTTTGATCTGCACTAAGATTATCCTGTGATCTAGAAAACAGCATCTTTCACTGCAGCCTTTTCTGATCTCCCCTAAGATGACATAAACCAGTTCATGCTGTCTGCCTGTTCCTTTGTGACTTCCAGATTATGGATGCCAGACATATGATGCTTAATGACTGGAACTTGTTGCTAGAAGAAAGGCACTCTACAGTTATTGCCAACAGGCGTGGAAGCAAATAATCAGTGCCTTTGTATCCCTGGGGTGGCGGAGGACATTGAGACATGAATGAGTCCCTTGGCACATACCGTTCTGAGACCTGTGATGGTGCACCTCAAAGACTGAAGATTATCCATAATTATTTCACCAGCCAAAGGAGAAAAGTCTTCTGAACAGCTCCATTCCACTAGGGAACAAATAGCAGGAGAAAATAAAATCAAATACCAGTCCAAGAGAAGATATCAAATACTCAAATCACTCACAGGTTAGCTTCTCTCCAAGTAGTTTCCCATTCCATGTGGGTACTAAAAGCCATGTTTAACAATAACATTTAGCAAAACTTAAGACAATAATTAAACTATATCTCTGTATATGAGAGAGAAAAGCAAAATACTGCTCAAAAGCTTTTCAGGAAAGATTGCTTAAAAATGCACATAATCACAGAATTGTTAGGGTTGGAAGGGATCTCTGGAGATCATCTACTCTAACCTCATACACTGCAATACAAACTACATTCAGGCAACATTTGCCCTCATTTAAACAATTTCCTTTTAAAGAAAGAAGAGCAGTGGAAAAGAGTAGGTAAAGGATTTGGACCTGCTAATGCCATTTGGCAGTTTATACATCCAAACTGACAAAAAGGGCTGTTTTGCAATTGGATCTGCATAGGTAGGTAGGAATGGGCAGAGAGTCCTTTTGGCTCCACAGGTCCACAAAGCTTTCATCACCTAACCCTGGCTAATTTGTATAGAAATATCCTCCTTGGACTGCATCCGACACTCATTGGAGTCTCTTCGTTGGTTTCAGTGGGTTCTGGCTCTCTTGTCCAAGCCTGATGCTGCTGTGGTCACTGAAATTACAGAGCTCCACAAGGATCTATTATGTTGTATCCACTTTCAAAGGGAATTAAATGGCATTGGGCTGACACATCCCTCCTAACCTATCGGGCAGCCTAAATTACAATGGGTACCTTCACCAGAGTGCTCCCATCAACTTGTACAGACGACTCATATAGGAGTAGTCCTGCTGTCAGGACTCTTCCCAATGCTTGCAAAAATGAATGTGGATATAAAATAGTATGAAATAGGCCTCAGAAACCTACTAGGGGATTTTAAGAAGGCAATCTATGCAAGTGGGGAACTGATGGCTCCAGGTATAGGAACAGCCTCTTTTCCTTCAATTATACATTATTAATGACAGGTACCACGATTGGAGTTAGGGTTAATCCTGGAGACATATGTCTGGGATTTAGTAACTTGCACCCTCACACTCAAACTCAGGAAAACCTCTCAAAACCATAGTGAAAATAATCTCTTATTCTACTGTAGACATGGGAAAATTCCATCAATTTTCTGGATTTACACCAAGGAAGAGAATTCAACCCAAAGCTTTCCCTTTAAGATTCACAAAATAGTTTCTAGATACCTTTCTGGTTTTGCATATTTGTTAGTATAAAAGTCAATAATTTTGCCTGGATCAGAGGATAAAGGTATTTTAATTTCAGCATGTGGAATTTTCATCTTCTGGCTGCGTCACACCGGTATTTTCACATTAAAAGAAAAAGGCTTCACAGAATTTTGTGCTCAGTATATACATTTAACTGCCAACACATTTTTCTGAAGCAGCCAAGTATCAATAGCACAACTCATTTTTCCTTTCTCTCCTAATTGCTCCTTTTCTGTGATTGCAGTTTGTGAATGCACAGCATGTTCTGCAACATTTTTCTGTTTGCTGCAATGAAAAGGATATTGGTTTTGTCTATTGTCTTCGAACTTTTTACAGTGGGTAGTTTCCTAGTTTTCCAAAGGCTTTAAATACCTAATTCCTGCCACCTTTAGTGGAAGCTATTTCTGTACATTAGTATGAATACAGAGAGAATGTTATGGTACTGTATGGTAGGCTTTTGTTGACAACTTAATTATAGGAATACTTCTAAGTACCTTTGAACTTGATGGCTTGTCAAATTTTCCATTGTAAACCATGATTCTCAGGGTTCATAACTAAACTGTATTAAATCATTGAGGACATTGTATACATGCTGCAAACTTAGACATGTCAGTTTTCCAGAGGGATAAGCTGGAGAAACCCTGTTTGAACTGCTGAACATGTTATCAACAGGCTTACAGTCACTTCAGATACCATTCTTCTTTTCAAAGAAGGGTCCATGTAAAGCAAGATTATGCCACTCAGGACAGGCGTTGGCAGCAAATCCTGTCTTCCCTGAAGCCTCCAGCATGACTGAGTGTGCTGCTCAGCATGCATGCAGGGCTAAGGTTGCACTTTAGGCAGCACAAAGCAAAACCAAGGGTGAAATTAGCAGCTTTAAGCGGCTTTTGAGCTTCCCAAAGTTTTAGCTGTCCCATGGACTGAAGACTGCCCAAACATAAACTGAAATTCAGATGGTATATTTAAATTTGGGTAGCTTACACAAATAAACATTGCAGCCCTATTCTTGATGTGGGTCTCCTCAAGCCATCCACTTGTATTCTGGCATTTGGAAAGGAGCTCCTAATATTTAGAGTTCTCTGCCTGGAGAGGAATTCACTACCTTGATCTAAACAGGATTGCAATCCTACATGTTTGCCAGCATGTGTACAGCAGGACCATCATGGTACTAGTATTAAGACTAGTAACAGCATGGCAGTTTGTTCTCAGAAATAGTCAAGGACCACGGGGTTCAGAGAAAGAAGCTGAGTTACCAAGGGGAGAAAAGGCTGACATTGCCTTTAAAGCTCTCAGCTGAGGAAGTGGGTTTTAAAAGAATAAATCACAGCTTTGTCCTTATCTTTTAGGGCAAACTGTTGTCCCAGGTCACATCAGTGAAGCCTCATGTGCAGTACAAACATCCTCATCCACTTGTGGGGTAACAGTAATCTCCCAGTCCCTTGAAGGATAACTACTTGCTAGGGAAAGGACCTAGTCCTTTCAGGAGGTACTGCAGGGGCTGGGTACCTCTCTAAGCCCCTTCACCAGTGAGTCCTTGCTGGCTGCTAGGCTGAGATTCAGCTGTGCTTCTCCTTACACAGCCAAGTGATGCCTTACGCTGTGGTGGCTGAGACTCATCAAACTGAAAACAGGAATATGGTCTTAGCTGGTGGATCAGGTTATGGTTATCGTTAAAATTGAGAATCCCCCTTTTAAAGGATGTTTACCAAACAAAACAGTTTCTACAAAGTTACTCAAAGTTCAGTTTTCAAATAGATGCATTTTAAACCCTCACATTTGGAAAACTCTTGCCCCCCAGTTTCAATAAAAACCTCCATAACTGAAAAATAAATATTTTTCAAACAGCTGGCTTGGAATAGTGCCTTCTTTTTGCCCTTGTTTCAATGTAGTACTGAAAACATATTAACAGGATACACTGAAGCAGTGCTGTTTTTTGACAGAATGTCAGTCTCTGACTCATGAGATCTGTCTTAAAGAAACTCATGACAAATTTTGGAATTTTTTGCTTATTTTTGATTTTAACATTTTTTTCCCCCATGATTTTACTGACACAAGTGAGAAGAAAATTCTATGATATAATTCTAAAGAAATGCAAATCAACGTAAGGAATTTATAACTGAAGTTTATATCTGCTGTAATACATTGCCGGATTTTAGCTTTCTGCTGTAATGGTTGGCTAAAAATAATATATAATGTTATACCATACTCATTGATTGGCTTTTAAACCTTTTAGAAGGATGTGGATACCAGTGTTCCTATTTTATAGGTGGGAAAATGAAGGCAAGGATAGGTAGAGCATTTTGTTCACTCAGCAGGTCCTAAAACAAGGGACAAAATCCTATGACTATTAAATCAGTGTCCCTCACACTTTCTGGCTACGTGGGGCACATATAGCTCTTCCTGGTACCAGAGCAATGCTACACGACCACAGTCTTACACTTGTGATTAATCTGGATCAAAAAATCATGGCGATTCAGGAGCAACCCATCATGAAGGTTTTACTGAACCTTTGCCTTACTTCTGGGAGAGACTGCTCTGGTAGCAAACAAAAAGTATCAGCCGTTTGGGAAACTGAAGTACTTGGGACTTTAAGATAGAACAAAAGGTGAGGTAACCTCAGCACTGCAAAAGTTGAATGTAAAAATACTCAAGCATAGAAAGATGAAGAGGGCCCTTTATAAGAGCCCAGGAACAAAGGCTGGTCTTGTAGATTGTACCAACTGTGCTGTAATGAACCTGAAAGCTGTTGGGTGAATTAAGGATGGAGCATGTTCCAGTGCTGTTCCGAACACCCCAAAGGGCTGCTTTGTTGTGAACGCTGAATGTCTTTGCTGTTGCGGCTTTCCATCTGACACTTCATGTTATGTCAGGGCAGGGGTTTTTTGTGTGTTTAATATATTGGTGACTATGTGCTTTAATGAAGGTGCCCTGTATTCCAGAGCGGGCAAATGCACGATGTGTTGCTGCGGTCGCCAAGATAAGTAGTAATTTTTAAATAAACAGCAGTATAAACAGTTACATAAAACTCATGTAAATTGCTGGCACATAATTTTAGACTGGCTTAAGTTATGTAACTTACTTGTGGCCAAGTTTTGGGGGTTTTTTAATACTCGATTCATGCACTTGGAAATAAAAGGAGAAGTTTATTTTCACCTGTTTCTTTTCCACGAGCTATCTCTCTGTTACACCAAGCTCCCCTTACACAGCTTATCTGAGAGACTGACAGACAGACAAGAAACAAAGTGAAGGCATAAAACAGCTCCTGACTCTATTACAGATCCATTCAGGAATGCACCTTTTCCCGAGTCAAGTTAAAATCTCGAGCCACAGTAGAATTTGTCACTTCTCTTGGCATTTACTTTTGCTTGCACTTAAATTACTCACTGAATGGATGAGTTTAATTAGACTGAAGGACATAAGTTCTGCTGCTAAGTGGATGAGGTCTATAGAATGGTGTGCTGAGCTGGGGCTCTGGGCTTGATTCTTGCTTTTGCTGCTGATTTGCTGTGTGACCTTGGGCAAAGCATTATGCCATTATAGCGCTTAACCCAGACTTAAGCACAAAGATGCTCTCTCCTTCCCTTCCTCCCCATATCCATGGCTAGGCTGAAAGACAGTGTGATCTTTGCTTGCATTTCCAGGGGCCTCCAAACAAATAATTGCATTCTTCAATAGCTTCCTTTAAAATGCAGAACTGAAAGGGAACACTGACACATTGGAAACCACTTCATACCATCTTTT